CCAACAGGGCCAGCAGGGCCTACAGAGCCAACAGGGCATACCACGTGACTCAGCCTTGTTCTCCTATGGATCCCCCCACGTGCCCAACGAGTGTGATGAGTCGTGCTCGTGCGGCTCGTGACCGGTCTCCTTCAAGGCTGTGTCCAACAGATAGCTACATAGACGACCAACTAAATGACAGACTAAACAACTGGCGAGATAACCGACCCAACTACTCCGCAGTAAGCGACAAGTTATCCTGAACGACACTGTGATTGCAAGGTGTACACTCAGTCATCCTTTCCATTCCCTTCCATTCCCGCAGGACTTTTAGATGGGCAATCTACAACGCTGTTATTCCATTCCTCCTTTTTCTTTTTGGTCTCCGAGGCTTTGATGACAATGAGGATGATGAAGATGATGTCCCGGTGGGTGCTGTTTTCTCTTTTCGATTCCTCCTAGTGCGCTTGCTGCTGCTCTTGATGCTTGAACAGCTTGGAGAGCTTGGGCTTGATCAGATGGAGTTCGCGCATGCGGCCAACAAAACGCTTCTTCTCCCGCTGCTCCCCTGGCAGACTGCTTGCCGAACAAGGCATTAGCAATGGCCGCTTGATGGAAGGAGTGAGAGAAAAAGAAGAGACTCACGCCTCGGCTTCCTCTTTGGCTCGATACCTGGTAGCCTCGTCTTCGCACCAGGTGTAAAACTCGACAGCCTCGTCCCACTGTCGCTGACTCTCCTCCAGAGGTTGATGCGAGAGGCGCAACGAAAAGTTGGAGAGCACCCCGAGGCCCTGGGGCACCAGTTTGTAGCGTCTCAGGTACGCCCAGACGTACAGCCTGCGGAGCTGATGCTCCTCGTCGTTGGCCGCCGTGGCGAACCACACCATCACATGGATCATGCCCTGCGCGGTGCCGACCGAGCGTGACAACTCGCAGTGCATGGCCTCTTCGATACTCATGCCTTGGAACTGCGCCTGCACGCGGCGGCGTGCCCCCGTGAGAAGGAGGTTCAACTGTTTGTTGTGAGCTGCCAAAAGTCTGATGAAGAGGTCGTCATTGTCAGTGGTTCCCTCGTAGAACTTGTACATCCGAGCCATTTCCTCGTGGAGATCCTTGCGCTCTTGATCGATGCTTGGGTTCATTATGAGGATGGCGATCAAAGTGATGAGGCTGATGCTCGCAATCAGAATGACGCTTATGATGACTGGGATGAGAGAGGCAGGGACATGGGTAGGAGGATGGGAAGAGGACGGGGTGATGGGCTGATGGGCTGATGAGGGTGAAAATGATGACGATTAGAATGGCGCTGATTTCCAGCCTCCTTCCCTCTCCCCTTCATCGTCGAATCGGTCAGGCTTGTGGCATCCCTTACGTCGGCAATCGGCAACACCTGCACCTGACAAGGACTGGAGGCTAGAATGCTTACTCGCAAATACTCAGCCAAAGCGCCCAAAACGTCCAAAATGTGCTTTAGCCGCGCGAAAAATGGCAGCCGGACATTCCAACTTCCAAGCACAGACCCCTGTGAGGTCCGATTGACATGTCTTCCCTTCATAAATGGTCGACCATCATTTAACCCGGGTAGTTTAGACTTTGTCGTAGCGCATTCTTGCCGGGAGAGGCGTGCTTGGTGGTTGCCAGTGGCTGCGTAGAAGGGCGCAAGGGGTTCATCTGCCAATCCCAAACAGCGTGGGAAACCAAGGGGCCTGAAGTGCGCAAGTCCCAGCTCCTGGCTTCCAGCTTCCAGCAAGGGGTCCTCAGTTGGCAAAGTGGCGGCGAATAGCAGTTGGTAGAGCTCCCCACGCAAGCCGAAACATACCCAAGCATGCCCAAACATGCGCCCAAACGTGACAAACATGCCCAGCCTGTTCAAGCCGGTTCAAGCCTGCCAAGCCCGATCACCGCAAAAGGCTATTCAACTGATGGGCGGATAACTGCTCAGAAGCATCCAAGACATGGACAGCCTTTGCAGCGTCCAGGGGAGTGGAAGCGGGCATCCTCCATACTACATCCGGCCCGCATCAGCTTGGTGTACATGTACACACACCTCAAGAGAACAAGCATCCGGCTGGGAGATCCGTCGACCAGCCGATCCAGCCAACAGAGAACCCGGCAGGAGTCGTCCAAAACTACAGAGTGGTTCCTAGAGATGGAGAGAGCGAGGGGTAGCAAGGCAAGGCAGAGTATATAGAGCTGGATATTTCCCCTTCCTGAGTTCCATCCCTTCTCCATCTCTTCCTCCCTTGCGATTCAGAAACGCCCAGCCTGACTTCACTGCATTCCTTCTGCCTCATCCACATACTTGCGACTTGGGCCCTTGATTTACCGGTGGTCCCCTTCCCTGAAAATACAAGAGACTTTTGACAAAGCGAACGCTTGCCACCAACATGAGAACTCGGTCTGCCAATCGTTTCTGTCGGCCGCCGCTGTCCCCCAGCCGGCCATCGTGCCATCCCACTGACAGCCATCCACAGGGTGCCTCAAGCCCTTCTCTCCAGGGTGGAGAGCCTCGAGCACCGAATGGAATCTTTCAGCAGCCAGCTGGAGTCCCTTGAGGCGGGCCGGGCGCAGCTGGAGACTCGCGTCCAGGAACAAGATCGGATCATCGGATGCCTATTCTATACCGTTAAAGAGCAGGACCGGGTCTTCAATACCGTCTCGGCCGCATATGTTCGAGAGCTCCACGAGCTCCGCAGCCAGCTCAATACCCTCATTGGCGTGGGGCCACCGCCTGCACCGCCTCAGGCTGGTGAACCCCAGGCCCTGGAATATATAACCCCCCTTCCTTATCGTGTCCCACCCGCGATCTGGCTCCCGCCGGGACCTCCACCGCAACTCTGCTATATTGGCTGGGCTGGTTCGCCGTCCGACCTAGAGGTCATTACCGCGTGGTGCCGCCGTCTTGGACAACGCGTGACCCAATGCCAGTACAGCGCGCTTGATTACCGACGCGATATCACAGGCCGAAACCGGGTTGAGGTGCGCAAGGCCATGCCGAATGGTTTCCTTCAGGGCTGGGTTTTGGACCGCACGGATGACACCTTTGGCTACTTTGTGCCAGAGAAGCCGGGCCCGGGGTGGCCTAAACAACTAAAAATCCACAACGACACTGAGCGAGGCATCTTCGTCGCCGCTGTCGAGTGTGACGATGCCGGCCTGCGCCCAACTCAGGATTGCTACATCATGGCGTCCCTCTACGTGAGTCTCATGGGCGCACAACTGACCTACCGGTAACTAACCTGTCCAAAAGCCTGTCCAAATCACGTCCCTGATTCAGGTCATGTCAACTTACTGGGAGATGGTCCATACCCTCTCTCGCACTCACGACATTGCGCCTATTGCGAAGGACTTTGCCGCAACTAGGGACCTCCTCCGCCTACACTGGCGGCGAGCCCGGGACACCGTTGGCCGCGGGACTGAAGGTCAGCCGCAGCACCGGAAGGCTGTGATCGACATCCAGGCCCACGAGTACCGCATGAGCGAGCTGGTGAGCACCATCCAGAGCGTGCCTGACCAAAACAAGTGGGAGCATCTGGAGACGCTCCTCGCGCAGTCCAAGCGACCCTTTCAGAAGGCCGAGTGGGTGCTCAGGAACCTCGTCCACCACGACCGGTCGGGCCAAACCCCCAACGAAGAGACCGACATACCCAACCCCTTTGTCGAGGAGTACCTGCAAGCCTTTCAGCGCTTGGTCACCATCAACAACTCGGAACTCAGCGTAGTCGCGGCGGCGGGGCAGGCAGTTTCCGTGCAAGCCCCGCAGACGGTGCAAGAAGCCGTGCAAGCTGCGGCTGCTGCGTAGTCCGACTCCGACATGATCTCCTTCTCCGACTCGGAAGACGGGCAAGGTGAGATGTCTGAGGGCGAAGGCTCTAAGTGAAGGGGGGGAGGGGGAGGCAAACCAGCAACCATGGATGGATGGGTGGATAGATGGGGCGGGTGGACAAAGCACAGCAAGACAACAAGGGCAGCATGGCTGGTGAGCCCCAACAAAGGGCAAAGAGCAACAAAACACGAACTAGGTAACGCCTTGATAGGACTTAGTGGGCGCTCATAGGTCGATGACGCGTTGGACCAGAACTTCTGTCCCCTTCCTTGCCTCCCTCTATCTCTTTGGTCTTGCTTGCTTCGGGGTTTCATCCCCGGTGGCCCCACCAGCATCCTCTGTACTGGGTATCCCGAGCAACTGAGGCGCCAAAAGAGAAACTCGGTTCACACATGGCTGCCCGCACGGACGCGTTGGCTCGTATCGAGTGTGAGCTATTGGCGAGCTATTGGGGAGCTATTTTGGTGGGGCGGCCTAGGATCATGTACCCCGCGCTCCGACCACCCAACATGTGGCCAGCTACCCCTCCTTTTCAGCCGCACCATTGGATAAGCTCACATTGCGTTGAGTCAAGGAAATGCTCTGTCAGCAGATTAACTCAGACAGCTGAACCTGTCACCAAAAGTCTATCTGTCTTCTTGCACAGTTCCCAGAAGCCCCCGCGCTTGGACCTTTGGTGGCATTGGCCCGACCGGGCGAAGGCACAGCGGCGTATTGCATGTCTGAACCATCACCTTTTTTTCTTCCCCGTCCCAAGAAATTTTCAGCTCCGGCCCCATCGATGGCGTAGAGTTCAGTCCTGTGAGTGGGTCGGTGATCAAGCTGAGTTTGAGTTTGCGGGGATGTGTTCTCTGAGCCTCAGTCTGTCTCACTTACACAGACGCCTCCCGTCCCACCTTCAGAAGCTCTCCACACGCACTCACACCGCTCCTTTCCCCGCTCTTTCGCACTCTAGATTTCCGTCGCGTTCTTTTGGTGTGAGGAGAGCTCTGAGACATGGCGCCTGTCAACAATCTGGGCACTGCGAGGGGGAATGTGCGCTATTGGACGGGGCGTGGCGTGTCACTGGGCCGCGGTGGAGTTGCCCCTGGGAGTCGCAGCCATCAAGGGGTCACAGGCAATGAGGCTACGGACAGACGGACAGCGCTAGACAATTCCTTGTCTGTTGGACGGATGGGAGAGCTGGCCAAGTAGAATGACAGCCACCAACAATCCATGATGCCACTGCCCTGCGGATGGCGATGTAGTAGCGTATTCGGGAAAGGAAAGGGGGATAGGTGATGGCGGCGATAATTTCCCGATTATTGGAGTGGTGATCTCATATCTCGTATAGAGGAGGGGGAGGAGAGGAGGGGGAGGGACGGTGGGGGGGGGGTGTGTGTTTGTGTTTGTGTGTATAGGGGTGAGGGAATGAGTAACAAGATACACAGACACAGCGACAGTGAACCACAGCGAAGGAAGGAGGAGATCTTTATAACGGCAGATCTAGGTTAAACGACCACTAGCTCACTAACTCAGTATTTACTATAGGCGCGGCAGGTAGATAGCAATACAGCGAGCGAGCGAGATAGCACCTCGGCGAGTTCGGCATCTCGGGAAACCTTCCATCTACTGGGTATTGTGTCCTCGATTATAGCACTCGCTCAAGGACTAAGCCGCCAAGACATGTAGTGGTTAAAACTTCTTCCTTACTCGCAAACGGTGTTGAGCCATTAGCGCCTTGGCGCAGGTTACCCAATACATAGCTGTCAGACAGACTCTCTCTCTCTTAGATACTGAATACCATACCGCCTCGATACCCTCATCACCCGCTCTTTGTCCTACAACGGTCGCACGACGCTAGTGCCATTCTATTTACTTCGTCGAGGTAGTTGGAATGATATAAATTTCTCACAATTATATACGGGGTTGAGGGTGATGCGGACTCCTTGAGTCTCAACGGGGTGGGCGCGACTCTACCAATCACCATTTCCTTGGCGCTCAGCCTTACCGGAGAGACTGACTTAGGTATACGCGACTAGGTGACCCGTCCTCACTTGCGCCGCTCCTCTATCACTTCAATCTACCATCACGCGTCTAAAAGGCGGCTTCCCTTCCCTTTGGGACCTGTCAACATTCCTGAGCCTCAATATGGCTATGATCACGACGATCATGGCACAGACCTACCTATTATGTGGAAATGAAATACGGCGTTACAGAGGTATATAGCCCTTAAGCTCTCCCGTGCCCTGCATAGCGTCCATGACTGGCTTCTGCACAGTGCACCTACTTGTCAGTCCATTCTCCTCCAAGCTCCCCCCTCCAAAAAGTCTAATGTCGGCCCCCATCCGCAGCTTTGAATATCTCTGGGCCCCTGGAATCGGGGAGCAGCCATTAGCAGCCATAGTCGGCAACGAGCCATCTGCAGCTGTGGACAAAATCCAAATCCCCCTGCTTCCTCGCGGCCTCTTTCGAGTCCATAACGGGGAGAATCCCAACGTTCCAAAGCCTCCCCATGCCATCGCCGTCTACTCTGTCCTGTCTGCCTCCAACGAATTGATCACCAAGGGTGGGCGGGTATTGGACTATGAGTGGCTTGAGCGCCTTACCCGACAGTGGCGCCCCAACGACCACCCTCTAGATGAAGGATCTTGCTACATTCCAGCAAGCGAGCCAAGGGAGCTTGGATCGCCATCCACATCCCTGTTCCAAGCAGGCCAGAATCCAGCTCCTCCACTCGGCGAAGGTCAACCCGCCTACCACCCCGACACCGCCATTGCTACCCGCGCAGAACCGGGACAGAAGCTGTCCTTGCCTCCTGCCACCCCTGGCCGCACTCGAGATCAGAGCGGCCCCAACGAGGCAACAAATCAGAGCATCAATCAGCAGCTCATCAAAATCCGGGATAAGGAGGACAGCAACGGGGTCTCCCCAACCCCCTCAGCCAGAGCGAACGATTGGCGGAGCGTTTGTCTTCCCTAGTTGGTGGAGATAGCAAAATGCCAAACAGCCTTGACCATCCCATCTGTCCCGACCCGCGCTTCATGATACCCTTAGTTAATTTCCCAATGCAGCCTTGCAGCTCAAACAAACCAGACCTGTCACATGCTGCCTCTAAAATTCAGCTCTGTCCATGGAGAAGGCATCTTTCTAGGGCATCGGGCATCGGGGGATTGACTTTGACAGGTCCAGAAGACCCAAGACTCTGCGGAGGCACTGGGAAGGGATGGTGTCTTGGATGCCGCACGGGTAAAGAGGGATCTCGCACGGGTGAAGTGAGTGACAGATCGAGAGGACCTCAGCACCCACAAACTTTACAACCAGGTCCAAAATAACTTCTGTGGTCGATTGCCATCCTACCTGCCTTGCCACCTCAAGTCGTGGAGGGTTGAGCCTCTTCATCACCAACGGCTGAGTAATTTTCCCAGTCTCAAAATTCCTTTTCTGGCTCTCTCTTTTTTCTTTGCCGTTCACGGCAAGCCCCGTCCCAGCAGCGGCCCAAGCCTTATTGCCGAAGCGGTGCTCGTCCCTCGAGTCGCGCTCGAACCCGCTCGCACTACAGATCCGAACGAGGAAATGTCTGGTGAGCATGGGGAACACAATGAGGCGAGACATCCTATGCCCAATGCCCTGATATCACCAAAGAAACCGCCAACAACGGCGGTAACGTTAGCAGCGGCAACGCGAGCAACAGCAAAAGGAGAAGAGATAGCGAGAGGAGCCGCGGAACGTGCGCCGGAAGAAGCAGCGCGAGCACTTACAATGGCGACGACAACGGCAGCAGAGGACGGGCAGTCGGCCTCCATACCAGCGCCGCGACGGCCCTCGCTGTCGCCAACGGCGACGAGACGATCGTCAAACGGGAGACGGGTACGATTCGACCTTCCAGCAGCTTCGTCACCCATCAACATTCCAATAAGGCGTTCTCGATACTCCAGTCCTCCTCCTACTCTCGGCCATCCCCGACGGGCGTCTCACCTCAGTCAAAGTGACCGGTCATGGTATGTTTCTGCAAACCCCCCTCCCCATTCCTCCTTCCTTCTCGTCCCCCCATCCATCCAAGAGTTGGGCATCTCTGTCTTGCCATGTAAAGCTTGACCTAACTCGTCCTTTTTTTTTTTACTTTTCTCTTTTGCGTGAAATAGGATCTCCGAGAGTTTGGACCTCAACGCGTCTCTGGACTCTTCCTCCAACTCACGTGAGCGCCTCGGCCAACGCCGTCGGCGGACATCAGGCGCCGGCACGCGGCGAGGCCGACCGGGAACTCAATCCTCCTCTCGATCGACTGGGCCCACACGGCGGGGAGGCGGAACCAGAGTGCACCTTGCCCGGTGAGGTTGGATATGGATATGGACTGGGATTGTGATGCAAATATATCCTGGCATTGGACGTGGCGTTGGTAGCCTTATCCAAAAATTGAGATGAAAATGCCAAGAGAGAAAAAGGCGCCCGCAACGGATGGTTGGGGAGATTAAGTATACAAGTATACGGAACACAAGCGGAGAAAAAGGACAGGATACATTGACATTGTACACTAGACCATGTTCGATATGCAGCACTGTTGCACACACGACGTCGATACCCAGATAGAAAAAGGCATATGCATACATTCAATACGGAGATGCTGTACATACATGCGTCGCCCTCCTTGTTCACAAGCCCGCTCACTCGCTCAGTTGTGGCACCCGTATACTCATATACGTGCCATGACCTTTTCCAACCTCTCCTATTCTTCTGTCCATCAATCCATTTAGCTGCACGGGCATCACTCTCACCATTCCAAAGCCTTCTTTCGGCCTTCCTTGTTTCATAGCCGTCTCTGATCTTCCCCGTCTGCCGTGGCTGTGATCGAAAAGTTCCTGTTGCAAAGATTGTCTGAATCAGGAGCGCAGCAACGAGTGTTTTACCACCGCATTGTCGCGGCCATTCCCATCTCTTCTTTGGCCGGTTCGAAGGAGCTCTTGCTGGTATTCACGGGCTGAATCGAAAATCCTCTTGGACCGTTCGTTCTTAGGAAGGGTAGAGAGGGTGTACATCGTCTGGCCGGAGGCTAGTTGAGATTGCTCAAAGAGTTCGGCGCGCTCGTCGGTTTCCACCACACTGCCAGTAGCGAAACGCGTCGACGGCCTGTACTCTTTTAATTTATTTTTCTCTTGTCCGGTTCACAACGAGAGCGACGACTGACTACCTGGCATGAAGAAGCAACAGACGGGCTCGCAATGAGGCTGTGGATAGGCCTTGCGCACGTGATTCAGTTGAGGGCCAGCCACACCAGCCACACCAGCCCATACCTGTTCTGGCGAACGTGGCTTCATTGTGGGGGTAGCTATATGGAAAGACAAGAATCTTTGCCAACTCAATCGACCCATACAAGGCTACATTGCAATGCGTCTCCCTTTCAAGATCTTGCCCGATGAACCCTTGAGCTTGCATCAATCGAGGTGAGAGAGCAATCGGGTTGGAGTGCTGTCTGGGCAAGACCGAGCCTGCAACCACTTCGGGTGCCCCTACGCAGGAGGCATCAAGCAAGGGATGTGCCGTGCGGCATCCTCTCAAGACTTCGGGTCCTCCCAAGATAATGGCCTGTCACCTTTTCTTTCTTGACGTCACATTCCTAACAGCATCCCTTGACAGAAAAGGGGCTGGACGAGCTCTGAAGGACATATAGCGAGGATGACAGCGGTCCGGCTTCCACACCTTCGTCCTCGCTCCAACCCAACATCCTGTATTCTGCTTGAATCGTCCTGTACCAGCGTCCCTTCACATCTTCAAACATGTCAAACACTCAGGAGCCCAAAACCTTTCTCAATCTTCCCAAAGAAGTACAACTAAAAATCCTCGACAATGTTCTCGCAGGAGAGTACATCACCGTCGAACCGGATCCCAACCTCCCCTACCGGTCTTGCTGGCGTCTACCAGCACAAGCATTGACTCTTGCAAACGTCTCTCGCGAATTTTGCAAACCCTCCCCTATGCGCATCGAGACCCTTGTCTGTAAAGAGGGCGCACGCCCAACCGGCTCGGCAATCCCAGAGGGGATCCGGCGAAGCATTACAACAATCATTTTGGAAAATACCTACATGCCAGCCGTCGACACAGCGGCGTTCCCCAATTTGCGAGCGATCCTCTGCTGCAGGGAGGGGGACTTCAGCTATTTGGTAGTCAACTTGAATCATTACGGACACGATCTCACGGACATCTTCGAGATAGACAAGCTCATTCAACGGCAACAAGCCGAAATCCACAGCCAAATCATACCGCAGTTGCCGTCATGGATGGAAGAGCTCGTCCTCGATCCTGCTAGCCAAGTGGAGCTGACGATCCGCGTCACGGTGCTTTTTCGCACGGACGAGGATGCCGCAGCTTCTGCAACCTTTCGCTTCGATGAAGATGGCATTGTCGAGGTAGAACCTCCCTCCTGGCGCATGCCAATGTCCCTCCTATATTCTTGGAAAGCCGGCCGTGCCTATAACGCGCTCTGCCCGTCTCGGGCGAAAAGGAGGAACGAGAAGCGTAGCGAGGAGCGAATGCGCAACGGGGAGAGAAAGTGGACGAAGATGGGAGGCGGGGGTTGGACGATCGAGGTAGACGAGGTTGTCCATGGATAAAGGCCACGTTGCACCACAGGGAGCATCGAAAAAGGACGACAGCGTTGGCCATGAGGTTCTTTTGCGTCTTGGATCATGGTTGTGCGACGCTCTTGCCGCCGTGGTGGCTTTGCTGTGTCCCATGGCCCTAATGCACCCAGCAGGCAACGATATCACCCAAACGTTTAGTTCGTCAATTGATAAGGAATATGATGGATTTTGTGATCCTGCGTACCTCGTAAAATGGCATCATCCCGGTGATTTTTTTTCCAAGGGGCGCAAGTAGATAACCAACCGAGCCCGCCAAGCCAATTTCTGCATAGCCAGGGTCCGTGCACGGCGCCTATCAAACATGACCCCTTCTGCCCCTTGAAGCTTGGCAGTCCAAATCAAAAAGGCCCCGCTCTCAAATATCAATGGCCTCCTTGCGCACTCCCTTTCGCAGCCCTTCGCATTGCCCTCTTCAATTCTCGACCTCGCCCTGCTTTCCTTGAGGTCGAGTGTCTCCTCCTTGACCATGAGCAACATGCCCATGTCCCTTCCTCGAGCATTAGGGCCTGTACGGCTTCTCGTTGTCTTCGTCGTCTTGCTCTCCCTGTTCCTCTTCCGATCCTACTACCTCCCCAGCCCTGACCCAGAGGGCGAGTATGGCCTGTCTTCTCCTGCGTCTTTCTGGAAAGGCTCCAGCTCCAGCTCCGCTGCTGTCGAAGATGCACCCGACGTCGACCTGGAAGACAGTTACTACGAGGTCGACGAAGACCCCGATTCAGTCGCGCAACTTGAAGAGCATGCGGAAGATGACCCTAATCATGACCCCGAGTCCGAACCTAAGTCCGAACCTGACCTCGACCCTGAAATCGATCCTGAAATCGACCCTGAAATCGACCCTGAAATCGACCCTGAAATCGATCCTGAGCCTGAACCTGAGCCCGAAGTCGAATCCGAGTCAACGAGCCCTCTCGAATCTGCCCCCGTTTCTTCTCCTCTCCCGTACCCACCCGACTCTCGCATCCCACCATGCCGCCGGCTGCCAGGCGCAGATAAAGTCGTGGTCATGGTCAAGACAGGTGCCACCGAAGTTTTTGCGCGCGTCCCTGAACAACTCGTCACCTTGGCGCAGTGCGTCCCTAATTTCATGGTCTTCTCCGACATGGAGCAACAAGTGGGAGAGTTCCGCATTCAAGATGCCTTGGATGGGATCGGACAAGAGTACAAAGAGAATCATGATGACTTCCGTTTCTATAATGAAATCCACGCCGCTCATGTTGCGCATGGTGACGTGAGTGTGCTAGGATCTGACAAAGCCTGGGCTCTGGATAAATGGAAGAACATTCCCATGCTCCACAAGGCTTATGTGGAGTATCCGGACGCGGAATGGTTTGTCACAATCGATGCCGACACTTACCTCAGCTGGGCCAATCTCCTCCTTCTGCTCGACCGCATGGATCCGGACGAACCGCTATATGCAGGCTGCGTTTACTGGCATGGCCCTACTGCTTTTGCCCAAGGCGGCACGGGTTATCTGTTATCTCGCAATGCGGTCCAGAGATTTGAAGAGATCCGGACCCCTGAGAAGATCGCCGATTGGGAGAAAGAGACTTCCACGATCTGCTGCGGCGATGTCATGCTGGGAGTTGCAATGAGCCAAGCTGGAGTGAGCGTCAGCGGTGCCTGGCCGATGTTTCAGGTGGATCCGCCATCTGGCTTCGTCTGGTCTGATACTGTGTGGTGCACCCCGGCCATCACCTGGCACCATGTGCACTCGTACGAGGTTGAAGGGCTCTGGCAATTTGAGAAAGAATGGATAAACAAGACTTGGGACGATGAAGACCCCGGCGCAGTCCCCTACTTGTACAAGGATGTCTTTGAAGACTTCATCAGGCCGCACATTACCGAGCAGAAGAAGGACTGGAACAATCTCTCCGGAGACAAAACATTTACGCAACCTAATGAAGGCCACGTCAAGGAAGACAATGACTGGGACTGGAAAAATGACGAAGAGAAGCAACAGATGTGGGATGATCTTTCCGAGCCCGAGAAGAAATCCATTGAATCCATCGAAGACTGCCGCGCGGCTTGTGAGAATGATTTACAATGTATGCAGTTTGCCTGGCATCCGGGTACCTGCAAACTGAGCTATTCCATCAAGATGGGTCGGCCGGTTGACTCCAAAGACGAGTGCACTTCTGGGTGGATGATCGACCGAGTCGAACAATTCAACTCAGCCAGATCAGAGTGTGGTGAGGTATCATGGAAAGTGGGCTGAACGGCAGTCCTTTTTTTTGTACCATTATGTTCATGATACGACGATAATTTCTTTGTCCCTCCACTGCTGGGTCCTCGACGCTACAAAGCAGTTGGATTCGACATTACTATTGAGGGGTTTCCCCCCCGGGGTCATGGCGCCGCCAAAGATGGGGCGGCTGTCATTGAATACGACGGCCAGATGTTCGATCAGTCTGTGGAGGGCTGTCCATGGATTGGGTGTTCGGAATGATGGCAGACGCTGGATGCTTGCCAGGTAGCCTCGAAGACGGAGCAGGCTGGCCCGTGACGAGCAGACCAGTGTGGGTAGCAACCCGTGTTCGGAATTTTCATGCCTGGCCAAAAGGAGGAGATGCATTATACACGCTGCGCCTCGGTGCAGCTGAGAGATCACTGTACGCCGACGCAGTGACCGCCATGTCAAAGGAATGGTATAGGATGAATGGCAGACTACCACCATATTTCCAAAAGGTTGACGATGTGAGGGAGGCCGCGCCGCCTCACTAGTGCCTTGGCACTGCTGCTGGAGGCATATACAGACCTTGATAGGTTGATCATTACAGACGAAGAGTTCACATTACACACGAGATGTGATTGTAGGGGGAAAAAAGGGAAGCACCTTCGATCTGGTAGTGAATCAATCCTATTATCCCGATGGCAATACTGTCATGTCAGACCGTGCCACCAGACCATGGCTCGATAAGGCCAACCAGTGAACTCCTCTTCCAGCCCTAGGACTGAAAGGGACAGATCTCGAAATGTTTGAGATCAGTGTCCAGTGGCCCTCCCACCGCCCGGGCATCCAGGCCAGCTCCAATTCCAATAGGAGGGACCGTGCTCTACCTGGAAAGTCATTTTCACTTCATTGCAAAATCGAACTCCTCAAAGTCGGCTCGCAGGCCCGCCGCGTCGTCTTCCTCGGCCGCTTGGTCGCTCCCGTCCTTCCACAGGATCGAGTCCATCCAGTTGACCCGGTTTTCCAGTTGCAGCAGACCCGCCATCACCTCTCTGCCGAACCAGATGTTGAACTTTTGGCTCGTGGGCAGTGCAAAGAATATGGATGTTGCCACGCCCACGTCGTCGTCGTTGTCTACGTTGCCGTTGGCATGGTCGGCCATTTGGACGGGATCGGCAACCCAGGTCCACACTCGGAAATAATCTGATCGTTGGGGAAGCTGCGTGCCGGCCTCGCAGGTTTGGAAGCTTGGATACCCGTAGTCGGCGGCCTTCACCTTGAATGCTGCCTCAACAAGCCCCTTCTTTATGCGGTCCACTGGACATGCAATGAGTTGCCAGTGGAAATGCCGGATACCGGTTCGATTGACTTCCCAACAGACGATGCCCAGCTGACCGTGGCTTTTTGAACCGACCATGACGCTCAGAGCATTTCGAAACCGATTCATTTCCTTGAACTCGGCTGCGATCTCGTCGGATGATCTCTTTCCGGAAGCCAGCTCGTCTGCAGCATGGTAGTATGGAATAATCATGACGTGGCCAGTGAAAGACAGCTGAGGGAATGTCGATGGCAACGGTAACGGACCTCTCGTCACTGTGACCATGCTTTCGTCCCCCAGAGACACGACAAGATGGGTCTTGGAACCGGGCTTATTCAGACACATGAAACAGTCATTGGGGTCATTGCGCGGACCTTTCCGAGCACGCTTGCGATTGCGTGGCCCTTGGCCCTCATCGGCGTCTCCCAGATATGGGCCTTTGTCATCGATTGCTTGTCGCTTCCTTGGGGGTGTGGATCTGATGAACGGCGACTCGAGCGGAGCCTCCATCGTGGCTGGAGGACGGGAAGTATCCAATGTGAACGCCGACATCCACTCTTTCGTGGGTGCAGACGCGCTCGCCAGACTTTTGAATCTGGTTACACTCGGTTCCTCAAACGAAGTGTAGTCGAGGACATGCTTGAAGGGCTCTCGCTCCCACAAGGCACTGGGACTGCTGGAGAAATGATACCATGGCTTGAGTGCTTGACAGAGATTGGAAATCGACTGTGTGCCAGCTGTTCCATCGATCCCCTCGGGCAATTCGATCTTCGACCCATTGGTGATATTTGCCGGCCATTGATTTGTGACGAGAATGTGTGCAAAGTGAGCACCGTGAAGTCCTCTTGACTCGTTGTCCAGGTGCAATGGGTCATAGGTACCCAGCTTCTGAGTGAGTGACGATTCGTTTTGAACTAGCCGACCCCCAAGCGAGACGATTTTCACGCCATCCGTAGAAGTCATGGTCCCTTTGCGGCCCAGATAGAAAAGGTTGGGGCAAATGTCTCCTCCGTCCAACTTTGCTCTGACCATTTCGGGGAAAGGCGAGTCGCCAACCGTGAAATATGTTGGGAGCGGTACATCGATCTGACCGTTGAGCAACGCTCCTACTTCGCTAGAATTGCTCTCATCACCGGGAGGACTGAAAAAATCACCAACGACAATAGCCAACGAGAAGTCGTGTTTGGCTTGCAGTTTTGATATCTTGCCAAAAGCCTTTCTCAATTGACCTTGGATGCTTCCAACAACAAGGCTACCAGAGTCAGTGATGACACTTATACATTTTCATTCAGGTCGCCCTCGACTCACATCTTAGCTGCCCCCATGGTGATTCTTGAGAGAAATGTGAGGCGAGAGATCCAACGGACAGGAGAACAACCAGACTCCGGTCTCCTGTCCGATTGTTCTTCGGCACTTTACGAGACCGGTGGCATTATCCGTTTCTTATGCGTCACGAGAATGTGAGACATGGGGAGAGGTGGCGGGTATAATGTGCTTGTACAAGTATGCCGAGATAGACACTTTTACGTTGGCGAGATTGGCTCGCAAATAAAAGTGTCATGTGATCCAGGCCCAACTCGCCGAACAAGCACAAAGTACCTCGTAGTACCGAGTACCCCACCGGATCTCATACGGTGACGCATTTCCTTGGTCACGTGGAATATGGGGAAATTTTTTCAAGTCTGCACTTTTTGACGTTTTGGCGCAGTCGCAGACAAACTTTCGTCGCCGAAAAGCCAACGGTCAAACTGGTATTTCTCTACTTCAGGACCGCACGCTGTAGATGGAGGCATGCAAGGTACCGCTCTTCTTTCCCCGATGACCTCACCTCCTCCGTCCCACCATGGCTTCGACCCCGGCAAACCTACATCGATTCGAGCCCTTCACGAAGCGAATAGCACGGTTAAAGATTGACCCTGTACATACTGTGGAAAAAAGGAAGCCTTCGAACAATGAGAACGACCCTCTACAAAGCTTTTTCCACGCTGCATTGGAAGAATGGGCGGAACTGAACTTGTCTCGCACATTCACCGACTTCCTCAGCCAGGCGGGTCCGCTATGCGAGAGTCTGCCCCAGTTACTTCACCATGCAGATGCTGTCTTCGAGATCCTTGTTGACCACATCGGAAAAAGGGATGAACTTGCCCTCGAACCTCTTCTCAGTCTTCTCACCCACCTTGCCCATGATCTCGGACAAGGCTTCGAGCGATACTTCTCAAGAACTGTGCAACTGATTGCGGAAATTGCTGCCACTCATGAGAAGGCTGAGGTTGTTGAATGGTGCTTCACCTGCCTTGCGTGGATATTCAAATACCTGTCCAAATTGCTCGTGCACGATCTGAGGCCCCTGCTCGATATCATGACACCATACCTCTCCTCCAAAAAAAGTTATATTGTTCGCTTCAGTGCAGAATCGCTGGCCTTCCTGCTCAGAAAAGCCGCCGCGCGATTTGAAAAGAACCGCGCGCACACACCCTTGTGCCTCGCAATCGAGCATCTTTTGGACAGACTCACACAAGAAGATGGTTGCAAAACCCTCGGTTCATATCAAATGGGTGTCACGAGTCTTTGCGTTGAGAGTGTTCGTGGGATTGATGGACAGTTGCACTCGTGTGCTGTGCCCCTGGTGCGGTGCCTGTTGTATCGCTTCTTCCATCCAAGTAAACATGAGCGAATTTGGCGGGCTGTGGAGAGTGTTCTGATTGCCCTCATGCATGAGACAAAAAGCGCCGCGTTTCGCCCAGTTCTGGTGGATGTTCTGGACGTCACAATGCATTTTGCTATGTCCAAAGATGTCAATCAGTTGGCTCTCACTCTGAGGCTTCTGCTTGTTGTCTTAGCGACGCGAAGGGGTTCAAGGGTTTCTTCTTGGGCGGATTTCATCGAGACCTTTCAAGCAGTAGTTGCAGCTGTACAGATCCTCAATGAGGACGATTACGGCTTCCGTGCAGTCGTCGCCCTTTTTATCGCCAGCATTCTTCAATTTGCGCCGATGGATCAGTTGTTGCCCTTCTCCCAGAAGTTGTTGGACTTTGCCGCAGAGCGGTTTTCCCCGCAGGAGTTCTTCACCTTCTCTAAAATTTGTGCAGAGCTTGGAAAGGAGAGATTCACCGACCTTGTTCTCCCACGACTCCAACAATACATTTCGACGCATTGGTCCGAGGATGAGGTGAGTCTTTACTACATGCTGGAATGCTTAGGGCAAAGGCAGATCAACTTTGGTGGGTCGGGGAGCGCCGGCTCGATAACTTGTCCTGCGGATTTTGGAGATTTCATCCTCGGGCAGCTCTCTATGGAAGGACGAGTTGAGAATGGATCTACCATCGAACAACTTGCTGGACGGCTTCGCTTCGTCAAAGCCGCTTGCGTTTTCGCGGACTCGGAAACTACAGCTAGGGTCCTTGACGCCTACCACAATCTGCTGGTAGGCGTCTTAGAAGATACCGACAGCGACCTCGACCTTCGTCAACGCGTAATCCTAGGCTGGGGCTTTGACTCCTACCTCCAAATCACACCATCTGCTGACCAGCGGCTCAAAGAGCTTGCTTTACTTGTTCCGAAAACGTCCGCGGTTCGTTTTCGCTTGCCAGCTTTTGTACACGCGGTAAGCCGTCTGTTCAGGAAAGTGCCTGCAGTGGAAGGTATGGAGTCTCGACTCTTCAACAACATCCGCCATATCCTTCTCCAAAATCTATTGGCCACGTCTCCTGATTTGAAGAAGGGATCTCTGGAGCTGCTTCCTGCGCTTGGCGGGTCGAATATCAAGCAATGGCTCATTGAAACTACGGATTTAATGCTTGATATTCTCAGTATCCCCTACACTCCCAGCGAGGCTCGAAAAATCTCAATGCTGCTAAGACGGCTTCCGAGGCAACAAAAGAGTGTGCCTCCAGACTCTGTGTTCCAAGATTTGATACCTTTTTTCTGCCTCGGCTTGCTGTCACGCTACTACGACCAAACAAGAATAGAAGTTTGCAATGTGCTCGCCCAAGTGGTACAGTCGACACCGACCGAGGAATCCGCCGTCAACGTGGCTATTCAGTGGCTCCAGTCTCCTGCCGATCTAACGCAATCGTCTCAACATGATCCCCAGGCAGCAAAGTCTCTACCGTCCTCCCCTGAATGCTCAGACGTCGATCAACTCGCATTATTGTGCCTATCAACCATGGACGATTTTCGCAATTCCAGTGAGAGATTCCGCACCACTATTCAAGACGCGCATCGCTTAGAAACACCCAGAACACCTCAGAATGGTCGATCATTAGCTCTCCAGGTGTTGGCAACAGTACCTGCTTCAGCTGAGCGCCGTTCTCGCTTACTGGTGCCAATCTTCCTTGCTGCACCATTCAGCCGCGCTCAAATGCACCCCGAGCCCAGCTCGGACGCTTCCACGTCGTCGCACACATTAAGCCCCGATCCTGACGACCACGCGTGGTCCCTTACGGACAGGAAGGCAATGTTGGCCTTGTTCGGAAAATTTGTCAACCCTCGTGTCCTCTACAGATCTTCCGAAGTCCATGAAAAGCTCGTCGATCTCTTGGGCAACGGAAATGAGGACATTCGAAAACTCGCGCTTCTGGCCATATTGAGGTGGAAAGATCCTGTGCTCAGCCGATACGAGGCTATGCTGCTCCCCCTGGCCGAAGGCAAGTCAACAACATCGGATATAGGTACACTTTTGGTTTCCGAGGAGGAAAATTCTATCAGGCCAGCTGAACGGAGCAGTGTCCTTCCTGTTGTACTCAAGCTCATCTTTGGCATCATCGTGGGGCGAGCAGGAACGTCAGGATCTCAAGACGCCCGGAGGAAATCATTGTTGCGTGTTCTCTTGCGACTGTCCGAGGACGAAGTCTCAATCTTTCTTGACATTGCTCTTGGCAAACTGAGAGATGCCAAGGTCAAAGAAGGCCATCCTACTCTCATGGCCCTCGAGCAAGTGCATGTCCCGGAAGACCAGCAATATGGGTTTCTTCGATTGCTACTGTCGATGCTGGAGATATTCCAGAGTGGATTTGCCCAGTACGGTCAGCAGGTCGTCGACGCGGTTGTCTTCTGCGTCATCCAAGCTTCTCGTCAAAATCAGACCGTGGTCAAGCAAAACAATACAGCAGCGCTATCACGAAGTATCCGACGAACAGGCTTCCAATGTCTTGTTATGCTTTTTGAACATTGTCCAGATGTGAACTGGCCTTTGTATCTTCGCGATCTCTTTGCCGATGCAATCAGTCCACGTCTCGACATATTTGCCTCGGAGACAACCCAGGGTATCTCTGGTCTGCTATGCCTGTTTGCAACTTGGGCTCATTCATCTAATCAGATTGGCTACCTTGGGGAGTATGATCGACGACTTCCCGGGGTCCTTTGGCAGACACTGGCTGCGCGTTCAACGCCAGACGAGGTGAAGCTGTTCATACTTAATGAAATTGTCCTTCCGTGGACTGGTCTGTCTGAAGCTGAACCATCTGTGCCAAACAAGGCCCACGACCTCCTCAAAACCGAATCAGATGGCCTCTTGACCTCTCTCGCGGCCTTACTCGAGCGGACACCTCCTAAGGCTATCCTTGCTGCAGTGACAACGGTCCTGCCCAAAGTTGCCCCAGTTGCGGAGTCTCCAGGATCCCGGCAGTCTATTCTCAAGTTATTGACGACTCTACTCTGTGATGATGGTCTTAAGTTATCCCCGAAGGTCCGGGGTCAACTGCTCCTCTCGGTCCATAGCTTTCTGGCTGTCGATGACACCTTGGAGCAAAATTTGCACTTGAAGCTTTTAGCACCCATTTCGTCTTTGTTCAACTACTTCAAGGACCATGCTAGTCGTCAAGTGCTATGCGAAGTCCTGGAACAATTGTCCACTTCCAACCGAGGTTTAGCTCACATTGCACGACTGTGCAAAGACTTGAACGCCATGTCCTCGCAACGGCTCGAAGAGATTGATTACGAAAAGCGACTGCAAGCTTTTCAATCAATCCAAATTCTGGAGTTGGACAAGGTCGGTTCGGTGTGCCAGCCCATTATTTACAACTTGCTGTTTTTCCTGAGAACGAGTGAGGATTTCACCATAAGATCAAATGCATTGGAATGCGTTAAAAAGTTGATTATCAAAGCCCTCGAGACAGGCAGGCCGGACTTGGACAGTTTGATAGTGAGTTCTATCGTTCCAGTGGCAAAGAAGTGCATGAGACATGAATCGGAACTTGCGAGGGCAGATTTCGTCGCTCTACTTGGTCTTCTGGTACAGCACGCAGGCAACAACGAAGAATTGGCGAACATGACACCTCTCCTGGTTGGGAACGACGAGGAAGCGTCGTTCTTCTCGAACATTCTGCATATCCAACAACACCGTCGTCTCCGCGCCATTCGACGGCTTGTCTCTGAGGTCGAGAAAGGGTTGATCAACACCACGAACATCGTGGAGATCTTTATCCCTTTGTTGGAGATGTTTGTCTATGACACAGGCACGGATGAGTCAGCCCAGAGCGCGAAAGGCCAAAGCATCACTGCGATAGGCACTCTTCTTGAATGGATCGACTGGAAACACTTCAAGGCGCTGTTCCGCCGGTACAAGAGTGACCTCGACGTAACCGGCAGCGAGCAAAAGGCAACCAATCGACTTCTTGCGCATGCTGCTGATGCGTTGTTGTCAGCGAATGGCCCTCGTAGAGAAGACTCTGGACCAGAAGAAGGTCGACTGATATCTCGCCTCGCAGAATCGCTTCCGGAGAAAGCTATTGTGGAGCAGGAGTTGAAGCTTCACTTCATACCCAAACTTGCAGAGCTTGTCCATTACAAAGACGAGGCTGAGATAAGCTTTCGTCTACCTATCGCGGTCATCGCGGTGAGGCTCATCACTCTGCTACCACCGCACGAGATCCCAGTTGTCGCTGCGCCGGTAACCCTCGATATCGCCCAGATCCTCAGAAGCCGGGCTCAAGAATCCCGCGACGCTGCGCGCAAGGCACTCTGCGACGTTGTCCTTCTGCTCGGTCCCAGCAGTTTGCAATTCATGCTCAAAGAAATGCGCACAGCCCTTACAAGAGGTTATCAGCTCCACGTGGTGTCTTATACCCTCCATGCAATTCTGGTAGCGCTGGTTCCTCAAATCAAACACGGTGATCTGGACTATTGCGGCGAAGCCCTTGTCTCCGTCATAATGGATGACATTTTCGGGGCCGTGGGGCAAGAAAAGGACAATCAAGATTACACCAGCAGCATGAAGGAAGTCAAAAGTAGCAAGAGTTTCGATTCGATGGAACTCCTAGCACGATCGATAAGCGTACTCTCCGTGTCCAAGCTCGTGGCACCAATTCAGACGCTGTTGTCGGGTACGCTGACGGCAAAGCAAGTACGGCAGGTTGATGAACTTCTCCGGAGGATTGGCAGTGGGCTTTCACAGAACCCGTCTACCAACAAGCGAGATGTCTTGACATTCGCATACCAGCTAATTCAATCGCTGTACCGACAAGAAGAGGGTAGTCAGGTCCAGGCGCCTACCAATGACGAGAAGAACCGGCAGAGATATCTCGTTCAATTATCATCAGCAAGTGAAACAACTCAGAGCCGCAGTTCGGCCTTGTTACACAAGCTTGCTAAATTCGCACTAGACTTGGTGAGGTCTACGCTACAAAGATCTACTGAGGTTCTGTCAGTCGAGAATCTACACGGCTTTCTTCCCATTGTAGGCGATGCTCTGGTCGAAGGTCAAGAGGATGTCAAGATTTCCGCATTGCGTTTGTTGTCTGTCATCATCAAACTCCCAATGCCCGAACTTGAGCAAAACTCACCCCTGTATGTTAGCGAGGCTGTCAAGGTCGTGAGAATCTCGTCAAGTACCAACGAAGAAGGGGCGCAGGCTGCGCTGAAACTGATAGCTGCGGTTCTCCGTGAGCGCAAGAGCATCAAGGTCAAAGAATCAGATATCGCCGAGCTTCTTCAACGTGTCGCTCCGGACATCGAAGCACCCGACAGACAAGGGGTGACGTTCAACTTCATCCGGGCAATCATGGGAAGAAGGATTCAGTTACCCGAGGTCTACAACCTGGCGGACAAGATCGGTGTCATGATGATCACAAATCAGACAAAAGAAGCACGAGATGTTGCGAGAGGGGTCTTTGTCCATTTCTTGGTTGAGTATCCGCAAAGCTCTTCGAGATGGTCGAAACAACAGAAATTTCTCATGAAGAATCTCCAATATGAGCACCCTGAGGGTAGACAATCTGTGATGGAAGCCATCAATATCTTGATTGGGAAGATCAAAGGGCAAATGGCACAGGAACTGATCTCGGCGTTCTATCTTCCAATCCTCCTTCGAATTGTTAACGACGACAACGAAACCTGTCGACAGCTTGCCGGGGCTCTACTGGGCCGGCTTTTCACCCTAGCAGACCGGGATCACCTGAACGATATGATTGAACCTCTCAACAACTTGATAGATCAAGAGGAGAACAGCGCATTAAAGAAACTGAGCATGCAGGCATACGCTATCCTCTTAGACACGGATGTGTCATTAACTCGAGAAGAAGTTAACAAAATTCGAAGCAACATTGCCAAATCTCTCGAAGCAACAAGCGTGACCGACAAGGACGATTGGGAGCTCCGCTTTCAGGTGCTACTACTCCTGTTGAAGTTGGCAAGGTCGTATCCAGGCAAAGTATTAACTCAGAAGCAGGCCTCTCTATGGTCACATGTGTGGACATCATTGACCCACTCCAACCCATGGATACAAAGCACTTCAGCAGACTTGACCATTCAGTTCTTCGGCCAATGCATCTCGGTGAGGGGTTCGAGGCTTCCGCTTACCTGTGAGCATGGCCTTTCCATGGATTCAGAGGGATTGCTCGGGATCTTGAAAGCTAGCACTCGGATCTTGCGTCGTACAACCGGCAATGAAGACCTCAGCGCACAAATGGAGCAGATTCTTTTATTTCTGGGTCAATGTTTGGAGGAAAACTTGCTGACGATCGAGGTTAACCAGAAACCCGGCGATGTGGGAGATTTTGAAGAAGAGGATGGGGCCATCGCCGAAGGGAAGACCAGAGGAATTCCAGCCACCCAATATCTCCTTGATCAACTCGGGCGCATTCTGCGCACGGAAACGGCAACACTGACATCCCCGGCGCTGCTCCCCAAGAAGTCATCGCTACGGCTCCTCTCAAATCTCATCCCAATTCTCTCGGTAGCTAATCTACCGAATTTGCAAATCAAAGCCATTCTGGTGTCACTTCAGCATATGACTGACACGAACACAATCCGCCCTCGGTCGGCAGACCCGACCTTCGGTGCCGCGTATCAGAATCTCGTCGAGCTCGCTCATACAGTGATGTCAAGGCTGCAGGAGAAACTCGGAGATGCAGAGTACGTCAGGGCGGTGACAGAGGCAAGCAAGATTATGCGTGAGAGGAGGGAAGATAGAAGAACCAAACGACGAGTTGAGCGGGTAGCGGAGCCGGAAAAGGCGGCGAGAGACAAGAAGAGGAAGACCGATCGGAAAAAGGAGAGGCGGCGGGAAATAGGCAGAGCGCACCAGAAGAGAAGGAGGGAGGTTGGCATGTCATGAAACAACGCTGCTCTCGGGGTGTCTTGCCCGTGCATGATCTGATTTTCAGCATTGCAAGGTCTGACTCTCGGAGCAGCATAGGGCCGGAGTTCATGGGAAATTTTTCATTTGAGAACAGGAACAAGAACCTTCGTCCTTGTGACGCCCTGTTCCACCTCCCTCACGGGGATCAATCCTTCCGTCCACCACTGACGGTTCGTTATCCTTGTTGAGGCCCTTTGCACCCCATACATGCCCTCTTTCTCAACCGTTGACGCTGGCTGACCTGGGAATATCCGTGCCTACCGCAGCGGTGGCGCCCGCATCAACGGGCAAAATCAAGCCGGTAATCCATCTCGCCTCGGGCCCTGCTAGGAATCGCACGGCACAGCCCACGTCCCATCCATTGCCCTCGGTCTTGAGCAGGCTGCGGTTCTTGCGGGCCTCGCGGGCCTCGTCGCTCATGCCGCCTGCGTACATCATCGGGGTGTACACCATGCCCGGGCAGACACAATTGACTCGGATGCCCTGGGGGGCGTGGTGCGCCGCCATTGCGCGCGTCATGTTGACAACGGCGCCCTTGCTGGTCGGGTAGAGCAGGTGCGGTGTCCCGCCGCGGATCCCGGCCACGCTGCCCATGTTGATGATGCTGCCTCTGTAGCCCCAGTCGTTGTCATTGCGGACCATGGCAGGGATCGCGTACTTGGCCATCATGACCATGCTCGACACGTTGATTTCCATCGACCTTGCCCACGCCGCCATGTCGACCTCGACCGCCGTGCCCGCAGCCCCGCCGACGCCCACGCAGTTGAACAGGATATCCAGCCTGCCGAAGCTGTCCATCGCCGCCTGCACGACGCCCCGGCACTGTGCCTCGTCGGTCACATCAGCCTGGAAGGCTCGCACGGAGCCTGGGAACGCGCTGCTCCCATTTTCGCGGATCATTTCGACGGTGCGTTCTGCTAGCGCCAGGTCGCGGTCCACGCAGAGCACAGCGCAGCCCACGTCAGCAAGGAGGATCGCGGCGGCGCGTCCGTTACCGATGCCGTCGCCTTGGGCGCCTGCGCCCGTCACGATGGCCACTTTGCCCACGAGATCGCGCGGGGGTTTGGGGAAGATGTATGAGTCCATCGGTGCCATTTTCCACCTCTTGTTCTTGTTGTGCGTCTTCCCTCTCTTTAGTTGACTCTCTGTGGCCTCATTCCCCCACGCTGCGCTGGGCCGCCGTCTCGGTCTTTCACGGCTGGGTTGGGCTGGGCTGGGGTGCGATGAGATGTGTCAATGCAATGCAGCTGGGCACGGATGCGTTGAGGTGAATTTGATCATGTAGCATGTGAATGTATGTACTTGTACATATGTGTAGAATAGATTGGATGTCTCCAACAACCGCAGCAGGCCTCGGCTCGGGGACGGAAGAAGTCAATGCGTAGCACGTGATCGATATCCGCCCCGGCGCCAAGTCGAATGTCTCCGTGTTGGAAATATACATGCGCGCATTTATTCATGACGCTTGCACAGCATCAATGATGGCTTAAGGAAATCCAGATCCATATTCACCTAGTGAGAGGTGACTCTCCCTCCCTGTCTCTCTCCCCCTCCCCTCTCCCTCCCTCTCGTCGTGTTGCAAATGCCTTCTGCGTCTGCAAGGTTCCGCTCGAACGGCATCCGTCACACGCTCCTTCTCTGCCATCATCGCTGCCCCTACCTCTGGCGACGTCATTCCGTATCCAGACTCACTCGCTTGATCTCTCTCCCCAGTCGAAGCGCGCTCAAGACGGCAATAGCTCAAAATGCTCAGAAAAACGAGAATACAATCGGCCAGAAGCTGGTCTCGAAGAAGAGCTGGAAGTCATACTTGCAATACACTTCCATTCCGGCATCTGCTCGGAATTGGATATGGCGGCTCTTCTTCATTGCCCCGCCGCTGGTAGTCTTCTTGATGTCGTTTCCATTCACAATCATGAGGGTGCAGGGCGCTTCTATGGCCCCCTTTTTCAACATCAACTCTTCTCCCGATCTCCCACCAACAGCACCAGATATCATTCTCGTGAAAAAGGTCAAGGGCATCGAAGCCTTGTCAAATTTGACGGGGAACCGGCCTGCCCGACTGAGGCTCGAAAGGGGCCAGATCGTCGTCTTTTTCGCGCCTCACGACCCCACGAAGTTAGCCGTCAAGCGAGTCATCGGCATCCCTGGGGACAGAATCAAACCTCTTCCTGGATATCCTGGTGGCGATGACCCTGTCATAATACCGTACAATCACGTCTGGGTTGAAGGTGACGCAAACAGCCGGGAAAAATCAATGGACTCAAATTACTTTGGTCCCATAAGTCAGAACATGGTGTTTGGATTGGTCATCGCAGTTCTCACGCCATGGACCTCCCTAGTCGCTGTGAACTGGGACGAACAGGATTACCCTGCCAAAACTAGTGGGAGGCTGGAAAAGGATGTGGTGCAGCAGGCCAAGTTGGATCCGGATGAGGAGGCTTCACAAAAGGATAATCCTTTTGCGGATGGACGAGCTGCGGTTGAGTTGGCCATGATGCGAAAGAACCGAGACCAGCTGGTTACAATGATTCGAGACCGGTCAAAATTCGACCAGTTGAAGAGCATATACGAGCGAGCACAGACGGAGCTACGCAGGGGTAACAAGGAGTCGAGAGAGGTCGCGAGAGGGTTGGTCGTGGAGTTGCAGATTCTTTTTGAGAGTGTGGGCTTAAACAAAGATGGAAGCCCGATCCCTCCTGCAATGAGGAGCTTGAGACAGGGAGGAGGGAATGAGCAGCAGGATTTAGAAAGGCAGAAAAGATTGAAGGATTACCTGGCAAGGCAACACCAGCATTCGAACGAGGGCATCGAATCTTAGGAATATCATATTGAGTATTTGAATATCACTTTGCATATCTCTTGGAACTCGGCAGTATTTCAAGAGATCAGGGCATTCGAAAGCAACAGGCAGCAGCGATGAATGCGGAAGGATTATATGTGTGTATCATCAGCGAGTCTGGCCATTTGAAGCCTCTCCTCACAAACCCTGTGGTTCTGCTCTCCTGCGCATTGCCTTTCTCTGCGCTATCGCCCCTTCTCTTTTGAAAAGCTAGTTTGTTTCAGGGTTTCTTTGTCATGTTTTTTTCCTTTCCAACGTATCTGTCAAAAGGTCCAGTGATTCCGCGTCTACCATTTCGCATCGTTGCTGGCCAAAAAGGCCTTCAAAATGGCCACTCTGGCCTCCAAAGCCGCCACCCACTTTTCGAGCGCCTCTCTTGTAGTCTCGGGATCGGTTCCCTCACCGCCCAATCGCACATAGAAATCTTTCCGGTAGGGAGTGGCACTCATGGCAGCACTGAAGATAGGTTTGATCATAAACCCATGATGTGGAGCCAGAGTGTTCTTGTAGCTCGTTCGAAATCCGTCCGCGAGCTCCTTATTCGGCTTTGGCTCCACAGCTTTGACAGAGGCGTTGGTGGTGAGATCGGCCCGGAGTGCTTGTGCTGTGAAATCCAACCCACGAGTCAGCCAAACTAGCCCTTCGGTAGCCTTGTGAGTCTTCGAGGCCAGCTCAGTCTTGACTAGCAGTTGGACTGTAGTTGAAACCTCCGAGGCAGCTCTATGTCGATCACGGATTTTCGCGACGTTGCCCATCATATCGTTCTTGACGGGAGTGAAAGCTACCGAGCCCAGAAGGTCGAAGAGGGTTGTGGTGGCTTCTGAGGCATCGAGGAATTCGAGGGTGGAAATGCCGCCGTCGTCAGATATGGGGACGTCGTCAAAGTGCACTTTGTGTGTGTCGAACCAGGTTTTGCCTGGCGGGATTTGAGTGCCAGACATTTCTGAAACTCAGAATATGATCCGATGCAACAGTGAGGGTATGAAGGAGAGCAGGGCAAGGAAAGATTGAGAGGGGGTGGAAGTGACGGTGAAGGCTTGTTTGAGGGGCGCATGCTGGAACTCGGGGCCGCGGGAAGGTGCAAACAAGGCAAACACGGCAAACCGACCAAGTATGTACGTGTTTGCTATGGAACGACATTGACGTCATTGAACTGCAATATTCAGCCGTGCCTGCGCAGACAGCCCTCTGCGTCTTCTTTAGAGTTTGAGGAGCAGATCTCTTAGAACGGTTTGATGACTATACGTACAGAACTGCCATTGTAACCTGTATCGTAGCGCGAAGAAGATGTCGACTTCCCGAGTGATGCCAATTAGCAGCACTGCCAGCGCCCACGACTTCGATGCCCTCGATCCCGACTCGTACACTGCCCGCCGACTTAAACACGCCTCTCCAGAGCATCTTCATCTCACCTCCCGCCGCTTCTTCATAGGTCCGATCCCCGAAGGATGGCTCAACAGCCACCGAAAGGAATGGTACAGGCGAAGAATCCAACTGAGCACGTATTCTTCTCGAAGAGCGAGCTTCCGCGCCGCCACAGACCAAGACCTCCATCATCGAACGTGGACTAGTCTTGAAGGTCCTTCGACCGCTGCCAGGGTGAGCTTCAGCTTTCCTCAGCCCGAAGATGTTTCCGATCGAGATTCAGGAGCAGACGAGACCCCAGATGCCGAAGAAGAGGACCAAGAGGAAGATGAGGAGCTGGTTGAGCCAAGAGATATAGAGCCGGTGTCGACAAACGATGTGTCCCATATCCTGGGGATCGATGGCGAGAATGAGCAGGACAACAGAGTTCCCAGGTCTCTGCCAGTCCCTACAGACAGAGGCACGGACGGTGCCAGCGACAACCCCAAACCTGGGCCGAGCGCACTGAAGTCTCCGAAACCTGAATCATACAGAACTGCCTATGAAAATCCATTTGGAGATTCAAAAGCAATCACACCTGTGATCAATCCACAGTGCTCAGAACATGACAATGACCGTACTGAGAGTGTCGGGCAATGCTTGAACAGGAGCTCCATGCAGCCATCAGCATCGACTGTAGACAATGTGGAAACCAACTCCAGGACGGCCCTCCTGGGGGGTGACCGTTCAAGACCGGACGCAAAATCTCTGCAGCGTCATGAACCTGCCCCTTTGGATGATGACCAGACCTATCACCTCAGACGGACGAGCACAGGTGTCAGATTCAAAGTCTCGGAAGGAGTTCAACGAGGTCAACAGAAGGTGGTCAACAAAGCCATTCGCGTGCAAGACCGTGTTGTCAACAGGAGATTGAGACGCAATACTCTTCGAGAGGGGACTGTCGTCAAAATGGAACGCATGTTGGTGCGAGTGGATACGACTCTGCAACAAGTCCCCGAAGATTTTGATGAGAACGAGAGCATCAAGATCGAGACGAGAATACTAGAGAAATGGCGGGAGTTCATGGTCGTGGCTAGAAAGAGCAAGAAGCAGGACGTCGACGATTACAGGCTTCAAATTTACAAAACTCGAGTCATCCCAGAGATTGATGACGAGTCAACCAAAAAGAAACCAAAACATGAGATCAGACTCGATCCCAAGACGACAAGAGTCAATTTGTACTCTTCTCTCGACAAGACCGTTGTTATCTGGCATCCATACAGAAAAGGGACGAGAATCATTGTGATGAGGCCCCGTTCCCAGGCACATTCTGTGGAATGGTACACTTTCCTTAGGGACGCCCTTGGCTGGGAACGGCCTACGACACTTCAAGTCAATGTCCCGGACCTGGATGTAACGTTGCGACTGGAGAGGCCATTTGAAGGACTCGAAGCAGCTGGAGTGGATGCAGCAGACGAGGCGACGGCCCTGGCTCGGACGGTTGCTGCGGAGAAAGCTGTAGCCGGGAAGATCATATCCGAGTGCATCGCCATGTTGGAACGCGACCCTGAATGGTCGAACGTCTTGAATGTGTGGAGCGAGACAGCCAAGATGGGTCTCGCGTGGAAGAGATACGACCGGCTTGAATGGGTACATGGGGCCAACGAGCAGAAGATGTATGGCTCCATGGCAATGGCCCGATCCCATGATTTGGAATTGCGACCGAAACAGCACTACCCTACCTCGACATGCGGCAGAAAGGGAAATCATCACGAGGAGCCGCCGCCAATTGAAGGGTTCTTGATTCGGTTGACGTCGCAGAAGGGGGTACACAAAAAGATGGGCAAGGCATTCTTCAAGCGATTATATTTCTCGACGCACAATCAGTTTTTGATGTTCAACCGTCCAGCAAAGGCTACTCCGCCTCATCCACCACGACTCGCGACGAAAAATGGGAGCACTGTTCCTTCGTCACACGAAATCGTCGAAAAGACGCCACTGATGTACGGCATCGAGCCTTACAAACTAAGAAACGGCCATGTTTCGTGGCTATCCTCGGGCAATCGGATGACTTTGCAGAGCCATGACCGTGATGCTGTCGAAGAGGCTCGGCGGAATGTGGCAAACATCCTGGAAGCGGACGGGTATATCGACATGTGCAACATCCGACATGTGCGTACCATAAGATGGGGTGCCTCGCCCGTTGACGAGGTGCTTGAGACTGGATCCAGCTCTGACGTCGATTTTCACCGGGAGGTTGCTGATACCAGGCACGAGGACGGATCGACGCATGAAATCGACGACGATCGAGTCTTTGAGCTCGTCCTCGGCAACGGATTGGTCGTTCGTCTGCAAGCATACTCGAAGCAGACACGCCACGAGTGGATCCGGCGCATGAAAGAATTGGTGAAATACTGGAAACTTCGAACGGCTGCTGAGATGGACACCTTTAAAGCCATACGAAAAGCCAACCTCGAACAGCTCAACGTCGACGAAGAAATGGAAGCCATCATCGGTCAATTTGCGAAAAAGTGGGAAGTTAGCCGCAGTGAAGCAAGCCCCGAACTCTACAACATGTGCGCAATAGGCAGTTGTCGCAGCACCACAATTTCCGGCTCCCTGTATCTCAAAACGCGCCGACGAGCCACCTTTCATCGGTGTCAGGTTATTCTTGCTGGCGGCAAATTGCTAATTTTCCAATCGGCTTTGCGAAAGAGAACTGGCGAACAAATCCGATTCATCCACCAAGAGAAGCAGCAAGACGTGGATCTGAAAGATTGCTATGTCTACAGTGGTCTGATTGTTGACGATGACCTGCTATACCAGAACCGCACTTTCGATGCGAACCGCGCCGGTATGGCCAGCCTGCCTCGGGTGTACCTTGAGGACGGATGGACGAGCGCGGATGTCGATGTCATGACATGTTTCGTGGTGTGGATGAATAGGAGAAAGGGTTGGTTCAAGACATCTAGGAACGGAGAGGCTGCCAACGACTCTTGTGAAGATGGAGGCACACCCCGAGGCCGCACCCGAGCGAGGCTTCGTAGAGTGGGCCAGCTGGGCGTGCCGGGGCGAGGAATGGTCTTCAAGTGCCGCAGCCGCGCCGAAAGGGACCACTGGGTGTTGAACATTGCCAGCGAGATCGAGCGTGTTGTTGAGCATGAAGTCGAGGAGTTGGGCGACGAGGGCGAATTCCGATTCGACAAATGAGGAGGAAGAGCGGATCTGCTTCGGAGAAGGAAGCATCTCTACGAGTAAAAGTGTATAAGCCATAGATACAGAGTACCTTGGTATGATGAAGAGAACACCTTGTCGAAGCTGTGAGGGTGAACAAGTCGGCGAGGAGCATGTTAGCACCGTAGTTAGCTAATCCTCGCCTCCATCAGTTTCTGGGCGTTGACCAAGCCGTTCAGCTCCATGGTGCGCCACTGAACCGCCTTGCAAAGACCATAGAGGCACTTGATCGTCGGCATTGCTATCCCTGCCCTCTCACCCTCTCTCAGTGCTTCACCCAGGATGTTCTCGTATTCAATAAACCTCCCCTTGCGCCGATCCTGCAACATGCTTGGGGCACAGAATATTTCCATTGGGTCACACTCGACCATCGACTCGACTAATGATTCAGGGAGCTCGACATTGGCAGAAGCCTTGGCCGCAGCACGGATCTCATTCATTGCTGGCCTCACGAGCAGGTCGAGGGGGTTGGCGGGGTCCTGCGCGTCCGAGGCCAGTCGAAACCGTGTCGTGTCCAGATCGGTCAGTGCACAAATTGGATTCCACACGGCGTTGTACATGAGCTTCCTCCAGCGGACAAACAGCACGTCGGCCTGGTACGAACACTGAACCTTGCCCGAGGCCGAGTATATCCGTACAAACTCCTCCGCAGCCGCAATCTGCTTCTGTCCATCTAGCTTGTCCGACAGGAAGGGCCCGATGAAAAGCCTGTCGACGTCGTTCTGGAGGATGTGGCCCGGACTGAGTTCATCGGCGCCCATCAACGACACCCCGGAAAGGCAGATGTTGTCCGGAAAGGCCGCCATCAACGGCTTCTCGATGTTGAGCCCGTTCTGTATGAGCACAATAACTGAATGCCCCGGCGTCACGGCCGGGCGGATCAAGTCGGCCACGGTGGGGGGGACATCCGGGACGTTCTTGGTGGTGACAATCACATAGTCGAATGGTTTGGCCGATCCCTCGTGGCCGCTCGTCACGTCCGGCACCTTGGGGAGGACTTCGGACGGCTTCCACTCCGCGAGCTTGCCGTGGTCACAAGAGTCGATGGTGAAACCCTTCTCTTTGACCATGGCATAGTTCGATCTCAGCACAGCCGCCACTGTTGCCAACCCTCCCTGTTCCAGATTCAAGGCTGTCATGGTTCCTATGCCGCCACTCCCAACGAGCAGGACTCGGGCCTTCTCTGCCATATCGATGAATGGTTTCTGCCCTTTTATTCACGGTTGCAATGTCGGTGGAGAAAGACGCCTGCAACCCTGTGGAACTGGCAACGTTATATACGTGTAAATCCTCAAGATGTGCTAGGGCGCAGCCTCGGCGACATCGACGGCGACTTCCGCATGCTGGAGATGCCCGCTTTTTTTCAATGCAGTCCACGTGATCTACGTCATGCAGCATCACGTACTGAAACGGACCGGCTCTGCAGGCGCTACTCACCGTGCCGGTACCGGCGTGTCGTGGACCACTATGAGTCGACGAACCGGGCCGAAGGCACTCCCGGGGATGTCTCAGTGGCCCGCCATACACTTTGTTAAAACCCCTTGTCGGTGTGCGAGTTTTCAACTGTCTATACCTGTCAAGATGACCAGGAGATTTACACGCCTTGGTTGCGACTTTCATCTGTGAGAGACTCTTCAATTGACCAAGGACCCTCGAAAACCCGGTCGGCAAGAAACGCAAGCAAAGAGGTAATAGGAATAGAAACAATGGCCACCACGGCTCTCCTTGTCTGCGACATCCAGAACGGCATCGTTGAACGGCTCAAAAGCCAGGATACGGAATCATTCCTCCGGCGCCTGTCCCAGACAATCGAAGCAGCACGCAAGATTGGCCTCAACGTCATCTATGTGAGGGTGGCTTTCCGGCCTGGATTCCCCGAGGCCTCGCCACGAAACGCATCGCTTGCCCGGGTGAGAGCCCACGGCGGGTTCGTGGAGGGCGACACGTCGACGGACATTCACGCTGCAGTGGCGCCGCAGGAGGGCGACATCCTGGTCACCAAGCGGCGGGTGTCTGCTCTCCACGGCACAGATCTGGATCTGATCCTCCGCAGCCTGGATGTCAAGACACTGGTCATCAGCGGCCTGAGCACGAGCGGCGTGGTCATGTCGACGGTCCGGCAAGGCGCGGACATGGATTACAAGCTTGTGGTGTTGGAGGATCTTTGCTGGGACACGGAGCAGGACGTGCACGATGCGGCATTGAAGGTGATTGCGAAGCAGGCCCAGGTTGTCCGGTCGGTGGACTGGATTGCGAAGCTGCAGTGAGCGCTGAACCGTGAGAGGGTCGTGTTGGGGATGAACATGGCAGTGTTTTACGAAATGCGTGGCGTCGACAGCATAGGAGATCAGATACAAGCAATGTTTCTGAGGCGAACCTCATTACTTGAGTCCTCGATTCGGCCAAATACCCGGTCGTATTCTCAGTGCGACGACTTACAGACCACATTTTCAGTGGCAACGGCATTGGGCGCCGTGTTGGGGAAATTTGCAGCAACCCCGCCCGGAGAATGGCCGACCAGGCCGATGCATCCTCCTCTGCCTCGTATATAAATATATATCTATATATATATATATAACTGCCTATTTTTCCAGTCCATCTCCGACAATCCTGACAGATTTACTAGTTAATGACGCTCAATTAACCCCTGCTCTTCTCCTTGAACGTCCTTCCACAACAGACGTGAGCTCCATCCCGGCGTCAGCGGCATCAGAATCCATCACCCCGGTGGCTCCCCCCGCCACTCTCGACGATGGCATACAAGATCGCCTCGATCCCGGCTGACGGGATCGGGCCCGAAGTGATCTCGGCGGGGATACGGGTGCTGGAGACGCTTTCACAGGCGTTTTCGTCGCGGTTCACATTTGACTTCACGCACTTTGACTGGTCCAGCGACACATATCTAAAGACTGGGCGGTACGTGCCCGAGGGCGGCCTCGACGAGCTGCGCAAGTTCGACGCCATCCTATTCGGCGCGGTCGGCGACCGCAGGGTCCCCGACCACATCTCCCTATGGGGCCTGAGGCTCGCGATATGTCAGCCGTTGCAGCAGTACGCCAACGTGCGGCCGACTCGGATCTTGCGCGGCGTGACATCCCCCTTGGCGTCGTGTCAGGGGAGTCTTGAGAATGCGAAGAAGCTGGACTGGGTTATTGTGAGTTCTGGTTCTCGCCTCCTCTTCCTCCGCTGCATGGCCTGGTTTCCCTGCCCCATTTGGCCCCTTCTTGGTGTGGAAATGAAAGAACCCCTCTATCTCCCGTCTGTCCTGTGTCCATCATCCGCCCACATGACTAACATGGACCGAATGGCGTAGATCCGTGAAAACAGCGAAGGTGAATATGCCGGCCACGGGGGCCGCTCACACGTCCACCAGAAGTGGGAGGTCGGGACCGAAGTGAGCGTGTTCACACGGCACGGCTGCGAGCGCCTGCTGCGGTTCGCGTACGAGACGGCTCGGTCGAGGCCGCGTAAGAAGCTGACGTTTGTGACAAAGTCCAACGCCCAGCGCAACGGGATGGTGCTGTGGGACGAAGTCAACGAGGCCGTGGGCCGGGACTACCCGGACGTGAGCGTGGACAAGATGCTGGTGGACGCGATGACTTGCCGGATGGCGCTGCAGCCCGAGACGCTCGACACGGTGGTGGCGACCAACCTGCACGCCGACATCCTCTCGGACTTGGCGGCGGCGCTGGCCGGCTCGATTGGCATCGCGCCGACCAGCAACCTGGACCCAACCCGCCAGAACCCCAGCATGTTCGAGCCGATCCACGGGTCGGCGTGGGACATTGCAGGCATGGGGGTGGCGAACCCCGTGGGCACCTTCTGGACCTGTGCCGAGATGGTGCGCTGGCTGGGCCAGGGCGAGGCGGCTGATCTGTTGATGGCTGCGGTCGAGGCCGTGCTGGCGACGGGCGTGAAGACCAGGGATTTGGGTGGGCAGGCCGGCACGGACGAGGTGACGGACAAGGTATGCGAGGAGATTTTGAGACTGGGCAGGGAGAGGGGGTTCTTTGTCGCTGGCAAAGAATAGGAACGGGGTGGGTGGGGTGAGTAGACAGTATTTCGCGTTATAGGGAGGGAGTTTTCCTATCCCTCCAATTTATCATATGGGCTCAGTTGTGAGAGCCCCAAGAAATCGCGAGGCTGGATCACATGCATTCATGCATGCAAGATCTGTCAACTCTGTTGTCTACCAAAACCGTATCGCGAGCCCGTACATAGCTGTGCAGCACAGTCCGTGATTCAACCTCGTTCTCATATGATACAAAGGGATGAGACCCGTCTCACTTGTACATTCTGCAGGATCAAAGGGGAGCTGAACTTCCTCCTTCTATTTCACCTTTCGTGGTGTCGCTGAATGGGAGCTTCGAGTTCGGCATGCCTAGCGGGACGCGACAACTCGTTCTTTACAAACGAAGAGAGGCAAGGCCCCCTTCGAGTGGGCTCACGTTTGAATAGGGCTTCGGAAGCTCATGAACACCAGAGTCTGTGAATGCAAGGATGACGTTGTATTCCGGATCGATCGCACTTTCCCCAGGAACTATAGATCAATCAGCTGCTTGAGTTCGCACATACATAGTCCAATAACTCGGGCGTTCCAAGAACCAGACTTCCGCTCGATGTTACACACCATCCCTGCGCTGGAGCCCCAGAAGCCAGGAACATTGCAGTGTCAAGCTTCCGTAAAGTTTGCCATTTCCGCACAAACGCCCACAGATGTGCGAGCCGTGGCTAGCTAGCCATGACCCTACCAGACGCAACGCTTCGGGTGTTTGGTGGAAACGTCTTCGATGTTTGCTGCTTCTGCATTCATTTTCCGCGTGGAGGATAGAATCGAGCTTCGTACATCCCGTCTCTCACGTGGACATTACACGACGAAGAAGCTCGTGGACAGCACATTGTTACCGAGCGCTAATGGTTCCAAATGTTTACGGCCGATGGAGTGCTCTGGGCGGGAGCGGGAATGCTCGCTTCCGACGGCTTCAGCATTTAAGATGAAGACGGCAACACCTGAGGCTCGGCAAAGGGTTAGCAAGCGAACGTGGTAGGCTGGGCCAACTTCTGAAAATTGGTCATGCGTGCCGAATCCGTCTGTTCATCCAGGGGCTTACAGTCATTGTTGGGATCCTCTGAATATCCAGCGGTGGAAACGCGTGCTTTCGCAAGAGTTGGATCATGCAACCGCTTCTCTGTCGCGTCCACATTTGTATCGGGGCAAATCTTTAGAAAGTGGCCGCCGGTTACAAACTTGACCCGCCCCCCCCTCCCCTCTTCAGCCAGAAACCTGATAGTACCACTTCCCTACATCAATTTCTTGCCGCCCGTCGACTAGGTGTGCCACATGTGCGAGATGGACAGATCAACGTCATCGGAGGCTGAGCCGGAGTCGAGCCGAAGTCGAGCCGATGCTGGCCCGAGCGTAATTGAGCGTCCTGGCGTCTGTGAATGGAAGTATGATTATTGGATACTACACAGACATTGTGTAGCGAACTGTGAGGGCTGCATATGCTAAACGACAGGATTGGGATTAACCAGCAGCACCATTCACCCTTGAGACGATAACTACTCGTGACCAATTTTGTTGATAGAGCAGTCCATGCCCCGTCCCTCCTACCGTGAGCGAAGCGTGTTGCCAGGACTAATAAACATGTTTGCTGTACATTCGCCCTACCTTTTCCTCATTGACACCTGGGATCTTACTATCGTGGTCTGTGTCACTTTTGCTATCGCTCTTTCAATACCCACATGAACTCCGCTGCCTCCCTGTTCTCATGCTCAGATTCGAGGAATGCGGCGGGGAGCAGGAGGATGAAGGTTCCTGCCGCCGCTCTGCTTAACCACCCCGCACGTTTGACATATCAACGCGCCGCATGGCCACAAGCCGCATGAAGAAACACCGTCATGTTTTGCAAGACGTTGGTGATCGCAATGCGTGGCCTCGTTCTCAATCAGTGACTCAGAAGCTGCTATCTAGGGCGGCTTTGGTGCTCACCTTGCCTGCTTTGCCTGTTGCACTGGACGCTTTTCCTTCGCCACTCCCTTCGGTCTCAGTATCCCCTGGTTCGCTGTAGGACAGATGATCTTCACGTCGTGGGGACATCTCAGGACTTGCAGAATATGAATGACGACGATTCGCTTCATCTACATCAGCGCTGGTAATTGTGAGGGTGTGGGTGCGAGCGACACTATGTTCGTCGACGGCGGGTTGTGACAATGTGGTCACGGCAGGTTCAGATTTTGCCCTCGAATGGGTCTGCGTGTCGGTCGGCGACATCTCCATAGGGAATTCATCGGTATGCAAATCATACTCACCTGTATGGGACAGGTCATCTTGTGTCGGTGGGAAAGCAAAACTAGATAAGACACAGTGAGCAAAGTCTTAAAGGAGAGGAGATCGATGATCAAAGAGATCCTTACGGAAGATAACGAGAATAAGCGTCCACGTCGCTGTCCGTGAAGTTGCAGAAGATGATTTTGTCCAGTTGAACTCCTTTTGGCTCCTTCACGAATGCACAAATCTCCGAGATGGCCGCTCGAGCTGCGGCATGGCTGGGATAACCGTAGACACCAGTGGATATGGCGGGAAACGCAATGGTCTTCAAGCCATGTTGGACAGCAAGGTTGAGGGCAGTGTGGTACGCAGCACGGAGAAGAGGTTCAGACGCTGACTCGCTTCTGAAGATGGGTCCGACCGCATGGATCACCTTTTGGCAGGGAAGGTTGTATGCGTTAGTTATTTTAGCGGAACCTGTTGGGCATCCACCAAGCGCAGCGCATTCTTGTAGCAACCTAGGGCCGGCAGCACGGTGAACCGCTCCATCAACTCCGCCTCCTCCACGGAGGGCAGGGTTGGCCGCCGTGACAATGACGTCGACCGACAGCGTTGTGATGTCCGCTTGAATGGTGCAGATCTTGTCATTGACGGCCTGGTCGGGAATGGGGATTGCTTCCATTAACGAAGGACTAAGCAGGTTATTGCGATAGAGGAAAGAGAGGGTAGGAATGTCCGCAATGGTCAAGCGATTTGCAATCGACAAGAGATTCTCCATGGCTCGTGTCTGAGTCTGTGGAAATGTACACAAAAGTAGAAGCGGTCGGCAAAGGAGAGGATGAGGGTATTGAGTGCGCGAGGGGGCCAAAGCAAGAGAAAAAGCAGAAGCATAAAGTGTCAGAGTGAAAGTGAGTGATGAGTGAAAGACCAAGAAACTGAAGCTGCGCGACTTGCGGGGAAGGAGCGCATTCGCGGTCACGTGAATTATTGTCACGTGCGGACTAGTCCCTAAGTTGCGACCCCGTTGCCTGCGCTCCACAGACACTACCATTCTCACCTGCATGGCTCACAGGGGTGTGGGTGTTGGCTTAGCCACGGAGGGCGACCTGCTCCAGATCCAGCGGATCTTTGAACATTGGGTGCTGAAGACTTCCGTCTCCTGCCTGATTCAAAAGCCCCCGTTCAGCCTTGTCGAATACCGCTACAAGGAATGCGTCGATCGGAAGCTTCCCTATATGGTAGCATGCGATCTCAATAACCACGACCATGTTGTCGGTTATGCATACGCGTCGCCCTTCCGGGGATCCAGCATGGGATACGGCCACACAGTTGAAATCAGCCTCTATGTTCATCCACAGCACACGAACAACGGCATCGGGAGCAGATTGATCGAGCGGCTTCTCGACGCACTCCGTTTCACTAGACACATTGCCTGGGAGTTGGGTCATGAGTTAAATGCCAAGGTGTATCCAGTGAGAAAAGTGATGGCTATCATGGCTGTTGACGAGACTGTTCCCAATCAGGGTATTCCGCTGCGAAACTGGTACCAGAAACGGGGTTTCGAGGAGGTGGGAAGACTCAAAGGCGTTGCTTTCAAGAGAGGTAGAATGTAAGAGAGCAAATCAAGAAGCGATCCGAATGCTAACAAGATGTGTTAACAGGCTTGACACTATATACCTCGAGTTCCACCTGTCTTGATAGGGACATCCGAAGCGTTTTCCAAACCACGACCCCCCCCCTCTCTCTGTGTGTTAGCATCTAGCACTGTCGAAGCTTTGGTGCTATGGCTCAAGAGATTGTGGCTATGTGAAAATAAACTCAATGCGCTTCAAACAGTGGTTTCCACCCACCTGTAATTCAGAGAAGTGCCTTCGCCGTGGGCACGCACCGCCAACATCATTCGATATCGTGGAGAGAGGGCAATCGAATGAGCCAGTTTTGAAATCGTCGCCGTCGTCCGAGCCAAAAGGTGGGACTGAAGTATCAGCTGATCCAGTCTTTGCCGCTGGAAATTATGACCCTGCCTCCGTTGCCACTATTCTACAGCATGATAATACGTCCCGCTCTGGTTGTGAGACAAGATGCGCCATCATGGGCGCTTGTCTTCGATCCACACCCATATCCCTTCATCTTTCGCGTCACACTTCAAGCCACGACAATGAAATATACTTCGCCCTATCGCTTTTTTGTCCTTTTCGCTTGCCAACTCTCCGCCGTTACAAACAGGCTATTTCGTCAAACATAGGCCTGATGATTGTTCTTAAAAAGCCATATCATATAAATTTATCTGGAGCAGCGCTACGTTTTTCCGCTTTCCCCACAACCTGTCTCGAACGACCACATGAGCCTCTAACCGAAACGGGATAGCGTATTTCCGGCATAACGAGCCTCGTATCGGAACGGAATAGTGTATTTCCGCCGCAGCCTCGCCTAGTAACATCTCGTGTTTTCCTACTTCAGGCTCACTATCAATTCTCTGTTGTAAACGCATTTGTCGACCCGTTCAGGCAAAATCAAACACTCTTCCCGTCTCCCGCTGTGGTGACGCGAATGCTGCGCCACGATTGGCTGGCCTAGCACGCGGCTTTCCCGCTTGGTGAATACAGGAGTCTGCCTTGTCTGCCTCACCTGCTCAAAACTATCCGGCGCGGCTGCCTGCTTCTCAGGTGACACTGAGTTTAAATCAGCCATTGTTTCTCTCCCTCTTCATCTCTTCATCTCTTCATCTCTTCATCTCCCCATTTCTTCCACCCTTTCAATCATTCGAAGCACTGACTTCTCCATCATGTCCTCCTGGTACCATGACCAGCGCCGCCTGTGTGGGTGCTATGTCCCCGTTCAGAAGCCCGGAATCGAAAGAAAATATCTTCCTCAAGTTGAATTGTCCTCACACACAAACATTCTTGCAACAACCTCGCGCACCACCCTGAAACAGAGCTTCGTCAACAACGGAGACCACAACCTTGACGAAGTGCATTACACCTTCCCACTCTATGACGGAGTCAGTGTGGTTGGCTTTAAATGTACCATTGGCGCAAAGACCATCGTCGGTGCTGTCAAAGAGCGACAACAGGCCAAAGCAGAGTACCAGGCAGCGGTCGCGCAGGGCGAAGCAGCAGCTCTGCTCGAGCAGCTGCCCGAAGCCTCTGACGTCTTCACCACGTCAATCGGCAATGTTCCTGCTGCGGAGAAGGTCCATGTCGAACTGGTATATCTCGGTGAACTCAAACGCGATGCGGAAACCGATGGTTCACGCTTCACTATTCCAACCATCGTGGCGCCTCGCTATGGGCCACTATCGAGCGACTCCGCTGCCGCCGTCCAGAGCACCGCGATTGACCAAGGGCACATCTCCATATGCGTCGATGTGACGCTTGAAGAAGGGTTGATCGTCCGCGGCCTACAGTCCCCAAGTCATCCAATTGCAGTTACAATGGGGCGTACCTCTATCATGGCCGAGGACTCGTTCGACAACAATCACGCTTCGGCAACGCTAACTCTCGGTACCGCCGAACTCGCGAAAGATTTCATTGTCGTTGTCCTTGCCGACGGCACTGACACTCCTCGTGCCTTGCTCGAGACTCACTCTACTATACCCAACCAACGCGCACTCATGGCCACACTGGTTCCAAAATTCAACCTTCCCAACATCTCCCCTGAGATTGTGTTCATTGCGGATAGAAGTGGGAGTATGCATGGGAAGATTGGACTTTTGGTTGCCGCCATGAAGGTTTTTTTGAAATCGCTCCCAGTGGGCGTGAAATTTAACATCTGTTCCTTTGGATCGCGGCACTCCTTCCTCTTCGAGAGGAGTAAAACATACGACCAGTCAAGTCTCAAGGATGCTCTTAACCACCTAGAGACATTCGCAGCAGACTACGGCGGCACGGAGATGCTCCAACCAGTGAAGGCAACGGTTGAGAACCGTTACAAAGACCTCGCCCTCGAGGTCATGCTTCTCACCGATGGAGAAATCTGGAATCAAGATGACGTGTTCGATTTCGTGAAGCAGACGCCCAACGCACGCTTCTTCACACTGGGTATTGGTGATGGCGCTTCGTCTGCACTTGTGGAGGGAGTCGCCCGCGCCGGTAATGGTTTTGCCCAGTTTGTCGGCACAGATGAAAAGCTGGACAATCGGGTGGTTCGCATGTTGAAGGGCGCCCTTACCCCTCACATCACTGACTACACACTCGAGGTCCAATTTGGGGAGGACGGGGAGGATTTCAAAGATGAAGACTTCGAGATGGTGGACCCAGAGGACAAAGAAGCCAAAGATGGTGTAATGCCTGATCTGAAAAAGCCAGAGGGGAAGACACCCATTTCCCTCTTCAATGCCAATGCGGCCGAGGAGCCAACCAACCCTCCTCTAGGTCGTTATGAAGGCTTGCCGACTATCTTAGTCCCAAAAATCCTCCAGGCACCTCACAAGATTCCGCCACTGTTTCGATTCAATCGCACCACTGTCTACCTCCTTTTCAGTCCCGAAGTGACCCGTAAACCACCCAAATCCGTTTTGCTTCGCGGCAGCAGTGCGCATGGCCCTCTCGAACTGAAAATTCCGGTTCAAGATATCGGCAGGGGCGAAACAATTCACCAACTGGCGGCCAAGAAGGCAATCCTCGAACTCGAAGAGGGCCGTGGCTGGATTGCCGAAGCACGAAGTTCTGATGGGCAACTTCTCGAGTCTGCCCATGAAGGAAAATGGGATCTCATTGTCGAACGAGAGGCTGTCCGCTTGGGTGTCCTTTTCCAAGTCGGGGGAAAATGGTGCTCATTCGTTGCTGTTGATAACCATGGCCAGCGAATTGATGAGAGGGTCTCCACGGGGTCGGCGCCTTCTGTGCGGACGAAGGGGCTAGGAGGTCGTGTATCCCTCTATGCAGCGCCCGGTGGATCCTTCGCTGGAGGAGGTTTTGCTTATCGGGCGGGTACGACTGCCCTACGGGCTGACGGCCAAGTTTTCCGCCCGTCGGCTATCGTCGCCGCCCCCGCACCCCTGCCGGCTTCCAGGGGACCGCACTGGGGGGGCCTCTTCGGAAGCGTCGCCTCTACACCAGCCACCACTACAAAGAAGTCGAGGACCCGGTCTCTCAGAAGGGGATTTGGATTTGGCTCAACACGCAATGACGAAGCCCTTGCAGGTGAAGCTGGCGAGCACGCGGCACCAGTTGACCTGTCGACGCTCAGTAACACGGAAAAGATGCACCAGATCATTGGTTTGGAGGAGTTTGACGGGTCGTGGCTCCGTTCAAAGAATCTTCTCGCCCTCCTTGGGGTCACTGAAGAGCAATTCACCAGCGTCGAGATCTTCGCTGAAAAAGGCGAGGATGCTGTCAAAGCCACAGTGCTGGCAATTGCTTGGCTGAAAGTCAAGGTTTCGCCGGAGAAAGACGTCTGGGAGATGGTGGCTGACAAGGCAATGGGATGGTTAGCAGCCAGACTTGGAGGCGAGGGAAATGCGAATAAGGCTGTTGAGCAGGCCAAGGAATTGTTCTGAAGAGACACGAGGTATGTCCCTTGTCGTGCGTTGGAGGAAATGAGAAAATCATTTAGAGAAACCGAAATATTTCGAATATCAGTCTCGGCCCCAGCCGCGAAATCGGTTGATATCATTGTCAAGGGGGCAATGTCATGGCTGAGTTTCCTTCAAGTTCTCGGTTTCTCATTCGCCACGATCTCTTCTCGACGCCATGATGTTGAGAGGACTATGCGTGAGGACGTGAGGCCTTCCTTTGTCCGGGCATTTCGGCCGGGGTATCATTGATGGTTTCATTGATGTGTGCGACCATTTGGAACACAACTTAGGGCACCAACGTGCTTGTTTCCCATTGTTGGCTTTCGCGGCCAGTGCTTGAGCTGATGGGCACTGCTGGCTTTGTAGGTACATGTGTACGAGGTAATCGGTAGTAGCAAGGCCAGAGCCACCAGCACCAGCACCAGCACCAGCACCAGCACCAGCACCAGCACCAGCACCAGCACCAGGACCCTTCTATGCTCCCTCCTCCCTCGTCTCTCCTTCTGTCCTTCTGTCCTTCCTGCCCGCTTAATGCTAGTCCCCATTCTCTCTCTCCTGCCTGCCGTCGTCTCTCAGCCTGCAAATGCCATCCTGCCAAATCACTTTCTTTCCGTCGTCGCTCATTTCTTCCTTCGTATGTTGAAATATTCTAACTGGGACCGGACCTTTTCATTTGCATTTGAGTTTGCTTTTGTTTGCATTTGACTTTGCGTTTGTATCGATACCACACCAACCTTCATATCGTCTTCGCACCGTTACACTTATCGGCCTTCGCGACCAAAGCCATGTCCAAGCTCTCCCCCCTCTTCAAACATTGCTTCCCGTCACGAGAGCGGCGTCGGGTACATCGTTCCCGGCCGGCTTCCGGGAACGGCGTCTTGACCTTGACCAGCTTGCCACCGGAACTTTTGCTGTGCCTCGCCGACTTCTTACCACCGAGCTCTGTTGCATCCCTCGGGTTCACTTCCAAATACTGCCGGGCAGTGCTTGACAAGCGACATGATATACGACTAGAACAAGATCCTGAAGAGAAGGCTCGGTTTGTTCAAATGCTGGAGAGAGATGTTCCACATATGCTGGCATGCTACAGCTGCAAAGTTCTGTTTAACTGGAGAAAGAAACCTAAAGGGGTCTGTCCAAACCACGACAACCATCGGAATCTCAATCATGGCTCACTTTGGTGCTATGCCCATCGGCCCCCTTTTATTTCTCGGGAGACGGTGGATGCTTTCCTGAGGGGATACGAGAAAGGCCCCAAGTACGGTCCCCAACTTGCCGAACTCGCACACGAGTGCAAGGGTGATGGAGGATGGTATCCGACCAAGGGTGAGAAGATTGCGAGGCGTCTCGACGCTCGCGTCCAACTCGGCAAACTTTTACTTCATGGCGTGTATACACTACGTGTTGCTCTTCCGTCACCTCCGAAGGCATTTTCCCCAGGATATGTCGATCGATCCTTCAGGCATACACTTTTGCCTGAAATTGTCAAGTTCAACGGCATCGGTTGCGTTCACCTGAGAAACTCCCTGCCGCTACTTCTTATTGACGCTGTCCATCACCTGGAAGGCGGCGTGCAAAGGCCAATATGCTATGATTTGATCAATTGCGGTTATTGCGCTACCGATCTTCGTGTCCGGGCGGTGGTGGGAGAGAATGCATGCCTCACAATCGAGTTGGAGATGTGGCGATCTCTGGGAGGCAGAGATCCTGCCACGAGACTTCCTCTTGAAGATGCTCACTTCCAACCGGCAGACATCAGACACGACCCCCTGGATATCAGCGAACCCCCAAGCCGGAACCTCGAAGACTTGTTCAACGGGGATTTTGGGACAATACGTGAAGGGCCCCAAAATCGACAGACGTGGCTTCAAGTGTGGATGTCTGTTTACGGCCAGGAGGGTGCGGATTTTTGGGAAGATCTCGTCGACGACAGCGACTCTGCAGTGACAGGGCAAACCCGAGTACAACGTCGGTGGCGATCGCAGTGTACGGTACAGTGAGAGTCAAAAAACAGATGATAATGTGCGGTCTGCAGCATGCCAATTATCCCGCGTTGGAATCATGACTAGCACTCAGGTCCGACTGGCAGGGATGCGGGCGTCAACTCTAGCGAGAGTGATATTTCAGTCTTGCCGCAGAAGTCGATCGTGAAAGGACCTGGTTGCCCCATTCCTACCTCGCTGCATGCGGCCTTCTTCTCATAGAATACACGAGTGTTAATATCATTCCCACTCCAGTTGCCTCATTGATCAATCAGATTGCTTAATAGCTTTTCTTTTCGCCATGTCCCAACGCGGTTCGGAAGACGGGGCTAAGGTCTGCGGCCTTCCCTGCGAATGCGTTGGAGATGCCTAAGTTGGAGCACGACACCGTTTTTGTTCCCCGCTTTGGGTCTCTACCGAATACCCGAAGCCCGGCCGACAGTTATATACGACACCGCTACTCGAGACAACTTCAGCATGGAATGCATGCGTTGATCTACGGTGCATCGGCAAAGCAGCTCCAGGAAAGTAAAAAAAAGATAAAAACAGGGAACAAAGAAACAATGGTGCTCGCAATCGTCACAGGGTCATCGAGAGGAATAGGAAGAGCAATCGCCCTGCAGCTGGCGGACGATGGCATGGACATTGCTGTGAGGAATCTATCTCATCGGACAATTTTATACATTGCATTGTATTGCAACCTCGGGGCTAATCCGAACTGGCAGTTGAATGATATAGAGCTTCAGCTTCCCGAGCTCGAAGGCGTCAAAGCCGAGATTGAGAAAAAGGGTGAGATGATGATGTGCCCCCACGAAGAGGACATGAAATTCCGTCTTAACATCCCCGTTCTGTGCTCCAGGGCGTAAAGCCTCGACATTCGTCGCCGATGTCAGTGTCGAGGAACAAGTCCAGAAGATGGTCGCCGACATTGTGGCCGAGTTTGGAGAACTGAATGTAAAGCTCAGCCCCCGCTAGTCACCGTCCTTGGACAACCCTTCCAAAAGTCCATATTTTTGATCCTGGTTACACACAGGTCATGGTCGCAAACGCCGGCATCCTCGTGCCGAAGTCGATCCTGGAAGTCAGCGTCGCCGAATGGGACAGGGTACAGTCTGTCAGTCAGCCAAAAGCCCCCCTCCCTTCTACCCCCTCGCCGGACCAGGTCTCGTTGTTCCGATCCCAATCTAACAGCACTGTCAGATCAACGTGAGGGGAGTATTCCTGTGCTATCGAGAAGCGGGTAAGAGAGACTCGCCAGCAATGGTTTTTAGAAGTGGGCTGGAGAGACTGAAAAATGGACCAAGCCAAGCAGATGATCAAACAGGGCAAAGGTGGGAAGATGGTGGCGGCTTGTTCAACGGCAGGATATCGACCGGTAAGCGCGAAGCTCGCCAGAACTTCCTGGCCCCATTGCAAGCAAAAAGGGATTCCCGCATTTGTTGACGCGATCTCTTGCGGCCTATTAGTCCGCGAGCCACAGCGTCGCCTACTCCACAAGCAAATGGGCTGTTCGGGGCCTGACCCAGTCGGCCGCGCTGGAGTTTGCAAAATACGATATCAATGTGAGTGGAGCGGCTTGTCCACGGGTGAAGAAGGGCGGCACCGAGTGCAACTGACCTGGTAAATAGGTGAACGGTTTGTTTATGCCAAAAGCTCGAGCTTGCCTGTTCGTTTGCTGACAAGCCACCCCCTCTAAAACAAAAACAGCATACTGCCCTGGGCCTGTTAACACGGATGTGAAACCCCCTCCCCTCAAACTGGCTCATTTTGTCTCTCCTGCAGCTCTTGCAGCTCTTGCTGACCCCATGCGTCAGATGTGGCAGCAAATCGATGCCAGCATCGCGGAGCGCGAAGGCCTTGAGAAAGGCGTGGCCTTTCAGAGATCCGTCGAGTCTCGAGCCGCTCTCAAGCGCGCCCAGGTAAGCTCAAGCCCAAGCCCAAGCCCAAGCCCGGCTGTCCGGACTCTTGAGCACACCCCACCCACGACTGCCCAGTGACCGGCCTGTGTTTCTTCTTCTTCGGGTTGATGCGTGCTAAGTAACTCCGCTCCAACGTGGCCAGACACCCCAGGACATCGCGAACCTCGTCAGTTTCCTGGTCAGTCCCAAGGCGAGGAACATCACAGGGCAGAGCGTCTTGTGCGATGGAGGTGAGTGATACGATACCAACACACCAGTATTGTCATTACATTACGATACACTACGTTGTCATTACACCACAGTACAACATACCCCCTCCCCACTGTCACCCGCCAAGACTTGTGCTGGGTTAACATGTATTCGTCCATCAAGGCATTTCTTTCTCTTGAGCCGGGATTTGGTGGCACGAAATGATTCAAATGAATATCCACCTTGCGGTCGCGATTTATCACGCTCGCTCAATGGCCAAGAACTAACAAGTGTTGACGATGCGGAGGGGCGAAGCAGAAGAGGAAGAAGTTCAACCATTGCTACCACTGTACAAACTCACGGCCCAAGGTTGAGGTTGTTGGTGCAATGACCAAGTCAAACAAAGGCTGCAGTCTGCATGGGTCTATCATCACAGGCAACGGAGAGCAAGAATCTTTGATGAGAACGCAATATATTGTTATGTTTGCAAACCATGGCCACCTCCTGCGGTGGTTTTTTTTGGTTGCCCCCCTGTTCAACCCAGGAAACCAACCAACCAACAAACCTGCCAACTCCCCTCCTATCCCATATCTATAGTCAGGCGCAGGGCATCGCTGCTCCAGCGGCCGCCGATTCCGCTGGAAGTATCGGGATAGTCTGGTCTGTTCTTCCGACGACCTCCTCCGTTCCTGCTCGTCCTCTGCTGCGTCCTCCTGTCTTTCCCTCTCCCTCCGGCGTGTTATGATGTCTATTCCAACTTCGTCCTCCAGCGCCTTGAACTCCAGGGTCAGCTGGCATGCCGTCATCGTGGCCTGCTCCCTCATGGCCCCCCCAACTCTCCCGCAGCCGCCGATAACGGCGTCGCTTTGCCGCCCATCGCTCGTATCGGCAGGTTCGCGAGGCGTGTCTCTGGCAGCCTCGTCACCATTGTCAGGGTTGTCATTCTCGTTGTCATTGTCATTGCGGTTCTCACCATCACCTTCCTCGCTATCACTCAGCACAATGATCAACCGTTCTTGTCCCCCCTCCGTAGTGATGGTGTAACATTGCCCATTGCTCTTGTTTGCGGTTTCTCCTGTGGTTTCTCCGGTGGGCTCGTGGTGGGATTTGGGGTCGTTATTCTCGTTGTGATTGTCACGGCGGTTCGCACCGTGATTCTCTTCGCTGTCACTTGGCACAAGGATCGGCCGGGGAATGTTTTCACCACTGCTCTTGGTCAACGCAGGCCCTGTTCAGGAATTCTTGACAAGTGCTGTACGTGGTAGTTTCCGCACTCCCCGTCCCAACTGCATCAGTGTTCGAGCTCGAAGCGTCATTGAGGCTTTGGAGTGCGAGGACCGCGAGCTCGGTCAGGTTGTCGTTGATCTCTCCCGTCGTCCTGTCCGCGTGCTTGCCCATGCTGATTCTCATGGTTGCGTTCGCGTCCTTGTCCATGCTCATTCCCATGGTTGCATGCGTCATCCGGTTCGCTGTTCCGTCCGTGCTGCCGTCCGTGATGCTGCCTGCAGTGCTATCCACAGTGCATTGCTCGCTGACAGTGGTCCTGCACTCTTTCTCTCCCTCGAGCTGTATTTGAGGCTGCTTTGGTGTTGTTGCGTGGAGCTTTAAAGTCCACAAGTCATTGACTTTCTCTGCCCAGTGCGTCACCGTTCAAACCCCGCACTGATACGAGGTACGAGGGCTTCATGTCACGTGATCTGCTCAACCACCGCAGCTATATCGAAGGCTTCATGACCTCTGTTGTTCGCAGTGTGCTTTCCATGTCAGCTCATCTCTCGAAAGCAGTTGGCCTTTCTCGTCGAGAGTTACGGTCAGATGACAGCTGGCTGATTCGCAGCCCACAATGCAGGAGCAAGACAACGCACCCAACCTCGGCACGTTGACCGGTTGGCTCCCTTTCTTCTGAGAGTTACTCGGTGCTCTTTCATTCTTTGTCTTCGCCATACCTTAGCCTGCAGCGATGTCTGCTGCCATGTTTTCTATCGTGTGCTTGTACCTTGCTATGTCGGCAGTTGTCAGTTTCTTCTTCGCCAGTAGTGTCCGTCTCCGTTGTCGTTGTCAATAGTTGTCTGTGTCAGTTTGTGTTGGTGTGTGTTCTTGTATTTGCGTGCATCCATGTCGGTAAACATCTGTGTCGTCTGCTATTTATGTCAGTATGTTCCTATGTCAGCAGTCGATCGCCGCTGTCGGTCGTTGCTGTGCTGCTGACAAAGAAACCCGCACCTCACTTGCTCGGACTACAACGGGATACAGCAGATAGAGGGGTCCGCCCTATGGAGGTGGCATTACATGACATTTTTGTATCTGTGTGAGGGACAGGTGCTACATAGACGGCTAAGTCAAGCAAGGAGCCTCTAGACATGGTCATTGCCTAGGAGCAATAATAGTCCACTGAACAAGAGAACATTCCTCTTTTCCCATCCTGTTCCATACACACATTGCGTCCCAGCAGTTATAATCCTGGTTTCCTCCGGTTCCATGCACGTTGCACCCAAGCAGGAGCAGTGGTCATTCACAAAAGCACCTCTAGCTCCCCCTCCCCATTTCATTGACGATGATAAGAGATGAGGAGAAGACAGCACGACAAAAACTGAGACAAGATTCGTTCCAGTGCAGGTGATGTGTTCTTCCTTTTGTCTTCCTTAACCTCCAAAAATACCCTTCTTTGTTGTTTAACCCTTCCTATCTTTTATATGCTTTTTTGGAAAGTCGCGCAAGCAGCAGCAACGCCAGCAGCAAAGAAAGACGGATGACAAAACGCGGCAGATGATAGAATGTGCGCCGTGAATACGATATGATATCGCCTTGCCAAGAGGGCTGTCATCTCGAGGGGGTTTATTGGAGTTTTCGAGTGAGCAATGGAGCTATCAATCTCATCTTGCCTGACATGGCTGAAGTCACCATTAACAGACCACTTCATTAACAACGGCGTCAGCTCCTCCCCCCACCCTTTTCAAGCCGGCTTGCTTCAACAACATCTCCTGAAGCCTCCCCACTTTGGTTTCATCGTCGTCATCCGACTCCTCTGCCCGATGTTCTTCACATTGTCCTTTCAATGCCCACATAATGGTCCGTCCGCGCGCGATGTTACCGGCGGCACGAGAGAGGAGCCTGCAACAAAGTCCTCCCAACGGGTCGCCAGTACATTCAGGCCATTGCACCATGAGAGATCATTCTTGTCCTGGGCTGACTCGCCCTCTCTGCACCTGTGCCTATTGCATTGAACCCCATACTGTGGAAAGAACTGTATACGGGTGCTCTCACATCGCGCCAGCAGACGGCACGAGGTAGTGACACACATCTTGACATCACCCATTCGCGGGCCAGAACAATTTGGAAATAGCCATATCTTCCACTCCTTCGGCGTTGTTGGATCGAGGCAAGCCCTCCAGTCTTCGAGTTCACACTGTTGTACAAAACTCAAACCGTCAGTGATCCTGTCGAAATCAAACTTCGACAGTTTTTTTGTCACGGAGAATATGATCGGTAATTTGACAAAGGGCATAGTCAAACTTCTGAGCTTCGGAAAGAACGTCATTGCTGCAGGCTGAAGATGTAGAGCCGTTATTGCCAACATCATTGGGGGCGGTGTCGTGGGTGGCGGGCGAGATAACTTCTTTGTTGGCATCGTCGTCGATGCTGCCATCAAATTTGCGACATCTTTCCCTGCGCAGAGGCTGAAGGGCGATCCCGGAAGGAGAGTGCTCATCAAAAACAGACGAGGAGACCGAACCGTTGTCCACAAACTGGGCAGATCTGGAGTCTTCATCGCAGTCGTCATCGAAGGCTTCACGGACGGCTTCATCAGACCCATCATACGAGTTAACGTCATCATCGGAGGAATTGACGACGGTAAAGTCGTCCTGGGTGACATGCTGTGGAACAGAGTCATCGTCACGAAGCTGCAAGACTGCGGGTTCAACAAATGGAGCCGGTGGAAGGAGAGGGCTCAGAGCTCTCGGAATCAGCTCTCCGCACATGTTGAATCTGTGACCATGGGAAGGCGTGAGGGATGCCGGAGGAAGAGAGGAGAGAGAGCTGGTGGACGGGGAAAGCGAGAAAATGATGGTGGTGGAGGGAGAAAGTGAGAAAGGTGATGGAGAACAAAAAAAGAGGTTGAAGGTAGAGGCTGAGAACGGGGCAGAGAAAGAGACAGAGAAAGAGGCAGAGAAAGAGGCAAGGGCAACTGGTAAAGAGGATGCAAACAGAAACTGCGACATCCATTCTCGTCTTCACCTGGAATGAGGGATGTTATAGACCTTGGAGCTCGTGAGGCTCTAGAATCCCTTGATCGCGGGTTCGCGAACGCCAGCGACAACAGCCTCTTGCGAAGGGCGGATTCCCTCCAGTTCTTGTGTATCGGCCCCTCTTGATCTGCCTGCACTGAAATATTGACTGCGCCATGCAGAGGTGGCGTCTTGAACAGACCTTTGATTTGTTATGTCTATTGTCTGTAACGACCAGCGCAACAGTCACAGCCATAGCTTGCTGTTACGGCGCGGGAATAGCCCAAGTCAAGTGAGGGGTGCAGCAACGAGGTGTTTGTAGGGCCCGCATCGAGGCAGAATGGCCCGAGCGCGGCTGCAAGGAGTCTCGGAGGCAGGTACCCAGTAGGGAGGTAGGGAGGCAGGGAGGCAAGGAGGTAGAGCTGTCTCTCTCTTCGTCTCGCTCGGCTTGCCCGCCGGTCGGACTGATCCCAATTCAGAGTGACATGGGGTCGCTCAGCCTCAAGAGATCAGCGCGACAGAGATAACGCGCAAGGAGGCTCGAAACTGGCGGACAAGAGCTGATGTCCGCAACTCTTTACGTCACGTGCTCTGACCTGTCCACAGGCGCAGGCGAGTCCTGGGGAAGAGTCTGTCACGTGTTACAGCCAAGGCGCCGATGCTACAAATACACTAGCTGTTGGGAGTTGCCGCGCATGCCGGAAGGCAACATCGTGAACTGCGCCGACGTACCACGTACACTGTAAGCAATAGCATCTCCTACTAGAAATTCGTCTGCCTAGCTAACGGCGATGTGATACGACAGGCCCATTGATCTTCCCACCGTATCGTTTCTTCCATCTTTCCCTGGCGTCCTTCCAAAGCAGGCAGACTGGCGTTCTTCGTGCCTCCAACCTACGACGCGCCCGGGAGACGGCGCTCAGGCGCAGGCGCAATCTACGACGGCTTCGGCAAGACTCAAGTCGTCGACGATCACTCTGCCCACATGGCCTATCCCGCGCTCGCAACCGGCACGGGTCGTAATATCGACATGGCCAAAACCGAATCGGACCTCGCCATCAACATCCGTAAGGCAACGAACATTGAAGAGACGGCACCCAAGAGGAAACATGTTCGATCATGCATAGTATACACATGGGATCACCGATCCTCCTTGTCCTTCTGGGCTGGGATGAAGGTCCAGTATGTTTCCAAGCTCCTCTTTGGTCGATGTAACCGGTCGGATGCTAACGATGAGGCAGGCCCGTTATGGCCGACGAGGTCCAGACCTTCAAAGCGCTGATCACAATCCACAAAGTCCTGCAGGAGGGCCACCCGGTGGCTGTCAAAGAGGCGCAACAGAATATCAACTGGATCGAGAGTCTCGCTAGAGGCGTGACTGGAGAAGGACTGCGAGGATATGGTCCCCTGATCCGAGAATATGTCTTCTTTCTCCTGGCCAAACTGGGCTTCCACCGCAACCACCCTGAGTTCAACGGGTTATTTGAGTATGAAGAGTACATCAGCCTCAAGTCGATAAACGATCCGAACGAGGGCTATGAGACCATCTCCGACTTGATGACCTTGCAGGATCAAATTGACACTTTCCAGAAGCTGATCTTCTCCCACTTTCGTGGCGGCTCCAACAACGAGTGCCGCATTGCAGCCCTGGTGCCACTGGTTCAAGAAAGCTATGGCATTTACAAGTTCATCACCAGTATGCTCCGGGCGATGCACACGACCACGGGCGATGATGACGCACTGGAGCCTCTCCGCACTCGATACGACGGCCAACATTATCGTCTTGTCAAGTTCTACTACGAATGCTCCAACCTGCGATATCTCACATCCCTCATCACCGTCCCCAAACTCCCTCAAGACCCTCCCAATCTCCTTGCCGACGACGAAGAAAAGCCCGCCCTCCCCAGGCGACCGGCTAAAGAAATCGAGAAACCTCCTACTCCGGTGGCGAAGAATGGGACCCCGGACACGCAAAAGGATATCGAGGACTTTTGGACAAGAGAAGCGCAGAGACAACAAGAAGAGTATGAAGCGGAGCAACGACGGCTGCAACAACAATGGGAAGAGCAGCAGAGGCAACAAATGCTGGCGCAGCAAGAAGCGCAGCGCCAGTTTGAAGAGCAACAGAGACTGCAGGCGGAGCAACAACGTCTTGCCCAAGAACAGCTTCTTCGAGATCAATACGCTGCACAGACACAAGGTCGTCTGGCTGAGCTGGAGCGGGAGAACCTCAACGCCCGGGCACAGTACGAGCGGGATCAGTTGATGCTTCAACAGTACGACCAACGCATGAAGGCCCTCGAGGAACAGCTGCAACAGCTCAATGCCAACTTCCAGATGCAGTCTCAATCTAAGGACGACCAGATTGCTGCGCTGCAGGAGCAGGTCAACACGTGGCGATCCAAGTACGAGGCGTTGGCGAAATTGTATTCCCAACTCCGACAAGAGCATCTCGATCTTCTTCAAACCACAAAGTCCCTGAAGCTGAAAGCGGCATCAGCCCAAGAAGCCATTGACCGCCGAGAACGCCTCGAACGTGAGATGAAGACCAAGAATCTCGAACTGGCCGACATGATCCGCGAACGCGACCGCGCCTTGCACGAAAAGGACCGCGCCCAAGGTTCCAACCGTGAAGAAGTTGAAAAATTGAAGCGCGAACTGAGGCTTGCACTGGAGAGGGCCGAGGACGCCGAGAGGTCCAAAGGATCTGAACTGTCGTCCATGCTGGCCAAATACAATCGTGAAATGGCGGATCTTGAAGAAGCCGTCCGCGCCAAGACAAGACAGCTTGAGGAGATCCGCGCCAAGCAGGGCGAACGCAACTACGACCAGGAAGCCGCTCTCCGCGAGAAGGATGACGAGATCGAGATTTACAAATCGGGGATGGAACAGGCGTTGGAGGAGCTCGAAGAACTCAAGCTGGGACACGGCGAATCAGACGGTGCGCTGGATGGCGCCATCGACGAAGTGATCAAGACGACCGTCGACAAGATCAACGACATTATCGACTCCGTCCTCCAGAGCGGCGTGCAAAGAGTGGATGACGCTATGTACGAACTCGACTCTCCCATGCAAGCCGGAAATCAAAACGCAACGGCGCCTTACGTCTTGTCCCAGATCGAAAAGGCCTCGGCCAGTGCGACCGAATTCTCCACCGCCTTCAATAACTTTGTCGCGGATGGACCCAACAGCCCACACGCCGACATCATCAAGACCGTCTCCATTTTTGCCGCGTCCATTGCCGATGTTCTGTCCAACACCAAGGGCCTGACCCGCCTCGCAACCGAGGAGAAGAAAGCCGACCAATTGATCGACTCAGCTCGGCAGTCAGCCATTTCCACGGTTCAGTTCTTCCGGAACCTCCAGTCGTTCCGCCTCGAAGGACTTGAACCCGTGCAGAAAACCGATGTGGTGATCAACAGCAACCACGACGTGCTCATGAAACTGCAAAAGCTGTCCAAACTCGCCGATGCCTTTGCACCAAAGGGCAGCAAGCTCAAGACTACCGGTGACTTGGGTGACCTGGTGGACTCGGAGTTGACCAAGGCCGCCAACGCAATCGATGCCGCCGCACAACGGCTCGCCAAGTTGAAGAGCAAGCCTCGCGAGGGTTATTCGACGTACGAGTTGAAGATCAACGACTCAATCTTGGAAGCCGCCATGACCGTCACCAATGCCATTGCACAACTGATCAAGGCTGCCACGGAATCGCAGAACGAGATTGTGCGTGAAGGAAGAGGATCCTCGTCTCGCACCGCGTTCTACAAGAAGAACAACCGATGGACGGAGGGATTGATTTCCGCTGCCAAGGCCGTTGCCACATCGACAAACACCCTCATTGAAACCGCCGACGGCGTCATCTCCGGCCGGAACTCCCCCGAGCAGTTGATCGTGGCGTCGAATGATGTCGCTGCCTCGACAGCACAACTAGTTGCCGCATCCCGGGTCAAGGCGAGTTTCATGTCCAAGACGCAGGACCACTTGGAACAGGCCAGCAGGGCTGTGGGAGCGGCCTGTCGTGCATTGGTCAGGCAGGTGCAGGATATTATCAAGCAGAAGGCGAAGGATGAAGGAGAATCCATGGACTATTCCAGGTTGAGCGGACACGAATTCAAGGTCAGAGAAATGGAGCAGCAGGTATGTGTTTGTCGTCTTCCCCCTTTGCGGCGCTGCCTCTGCGGGATTCATGTGCTAACTTGTGGTTGTGCGACAGGTCGAGATTCTCCAGCTGCGGAATGCGCTGGATGCGGCGCAGGCGAGATTGGCGGAGATGCGGAAGCTCTCTTATCGCGAAGACTGAACCCCCCCCCCCCCCCCGTCCTGCCTCACTCCGATCCTGGCTCCTCCGCACCCTCTCTCGACACCGCTGCTAGTAGGAGAAAGAAGCCGGAGAACAAGCAATATGGTTATGGCAAACGGGTGCCGCTTGGTCATGATGAGTGGACACGGATTAGGCTGATGATTATCAAGAGAAGGCCTGGGACTGGAGACTACCTGATCAAGATGAGATACACATACACGCAAGCAGAAGGAAGGTCGACACAGCCCGGTTGGGACTGTTGATAGCGAGCAGACTCGTCAAAAGGAGTATTTGATACTGGGTATATTGGTATAATACATGCTTTGTGTCGACCACAATGTTTCCCTGGGACTTGGGCGCCTTTACACTGAAGCCTCCCCCCCCCCTCTTCACAGCTAAATGTTTACCCAAAATATCTCGACAGTTATTGTGAGAGAGCGCCTTTTGCTGTGATTCTGAGAGTCTGCAGTTTAGACGTAATTCCGAAGGTCCGAAAGCAGGGTCCTTCGGATTCCGCCTCAAACCTCGGTGGACTAGACATGACAGTTGGAGCGAAAGATCGTGTCTGTTGTCCGAGCGCTCAGGCAATTTCTGCACCGACTGCAGCAGCTGGCTACTGTCGACCTCTCCCTTCCTGCGTGCGGTATCGGTATCGGTATCTCGACCCAAAACAGACGTCCGCATGGCTAGAGATTGAATTGGAACGAACTGAGAGATTTCTTTCTGCTCCGCCTTCTCGAATGTCTACTAGGATGGAAGTTGGCATCGCGCATTAGAGAACTTTGGCCCACCTCATTTGAAAGAGAAAGGGGGCGTTGTTTGGCCACCATCACCGTGCTCTCTCCAAGGTCTCCAAGATTGGAACGTGAATCTCCCTTTAGTGTGTGCACTCTGTGAGCTGACCATGCCTCTCTTCCTCGCGGACACAAGGTTTCTCTTGGCAAAGTGGCTCAAACCATACACCAGCTGAGCTCACTTTCGTTCAAGGGCTCGACCTTCCTTTTCTTTACCCGTTTAAACTTCCTCTCCTTCAACTGTTCGATATTTTTACCCCTCAGTCGTTCGGAATCTCTTTCTTTTAGCCGTTTACGCTCCCTTTTTTTCTTCTTTTTGACTGTTTCAACTCTTTTGCCTTTAGCTGTTCAGACTTCCTTTCCTCCCCTCGTCCCCGGGGAAACGCGAAAAGAGCCAAGCTGAGTTTGGTCTGAGTCAGCGTATAAGCTTAACACGTCTCCCTTCTGTTAAGACAAACGGCTGTGCGTGCGGCAGAGCGTTTCCTTTCCACCATCACACCGATCTGGAGCCTCGATAATAGGAGTGCCTCTCCTCCGCTGCCCGTTTTGAACTGGAACACTCAAGGATCTTGTCTCTTGCGGTCCGTTCGTCGCAGTGTAGATGGTTGGAGTCTCGATTAGAGGATTTATCTCCCTTCCGCTTTCCATTTTGAACTAGAGCACTCAAAGGCCTTGTCCCTTGCGATCCATTCGTCCTAGTTTGGAGGGTTGGATCGCCTGAGAGGTCAAGAACGGTCAACGACTGTCTCAACTCTTCCTGCAGTACGCTGTGTGTTGGAGTATCTTTGCAAGTGACAAGACCTCTCTCCTTCCGCTTATTTCAAGAAAAAAGCCAGGGCCGTAGTGAGGTTGAGCGGTAGACGTCTTAACCCATCTGCATAGATATATATATATAATAAACTTAGGAGTCCTTATCCAGACACAACGACTCTCGACCCGTTCGCGGGGACAACATCAAAACAAGATGCAGCCTTCGATCGATAAGATGAGGAAAGAGGTGATCGTGAAAGCATAGGTCCGGCCCGTGGAAAAATTTTTGAAAATCCCCCAGTTGAAGTGGTAAAGGCGGACGTAATATGAATATCCCAGTGTACCAAATGATCCCAGCTAACGGCAGGCTCGGGTGGAAAGTGCAACTGTTGAAGACATTTGCAAAGTCCAGGACGTTTAGGAGACCACTTTGCCGCAGGAACCAAAACCCGTATGGGCTTGGTTCGGGTTTCGGAGCCTTATTGCCTTCGCTGAAGCGTCCACGGTGTCCATCACTCGTCTCAGCTCGGTCAACTGCTGAGGTGGAGCCCATAGCAAAAACACTGTCATTGAACACCCACCATTATTGGCAGATGTGGACGTGCTGAGCCTAGCGACCCGACTCTTAATCGCTGTAGGCCCAGTCCCAATTTTTATCGACCGTACGGTATTCCCTCGAAGCGACTCCACCCCGCCAACATTGGCAGATGTGGACGTGCTGAGCCTAGCGGCTCGATTTTCAAGGGCTGTAGGCCCCCCAGTTTTTACCGACTCGTACGGTATTCCCTCGAATCGAGTCCACCGCGCCATTTTCGGGAGACTCGACCGCGGGGAGCCTAGCGGCTCGATTTTCAACGGCACTAGATCTCCCAAGTTTTGCGCGACCGTACGGTGTTCACTCGAGGCGAGTTCACCGCGCCATTTTGGCAAGAGTCTGCCGTGGGGAGCCTAGCTGCCCGATTTCCAATGCCTTTTGGGAAAGCCTTGGGCCTTCTTTCGGCAAGTCCCAGGCAAAGTCTTCAGATAAGGCTAAATCGAGCCAGCCCTTTCCGAGAGAGAGAGCATCGTGTCTCCAACAGGAAGAACGACGCAAGGGCCTTCACTTCTCCGAAGAAATTCTGCCATTCTTATGGGAAATCCCGGCAGCCGACAACAATGGCATATCCGCTAAATTGTCGACAGCGGTGACGCTGGTAGAGTAACCAGCTAGGTTGGTGTCACACTCATTGCCGGGCCAACCAAATATATATATATATATATTGATATCGATGATGGTGAGGATGTCGGTTGTCGGTTGTCGGTTGTCGGTTGTCGGTTGTCGGTTGTCCTTGGATTATCGAAGCAACATCTTGTCAGCGAGTGACTTGGCGCAACGATTCCGGATTCATTGCTGGAATAGTTCTTTCGGTAGAATGTAAAATGCCACGCTGTTAAGGATTTCTGTTATTCGGCTTCCAAAATCGTTGATAGAGTAACATATTACATTCCACCAAGAGTGCACACTTTGGTTGTCCGTAGAATTGAACGCAGGCAGTCTGTCATTCCTTGGGATGCGCGGCTGTTGTCGTCATCGTTGAAATGACAGGAGATCCTGTGAACGCGCGAGGTATCCTCTCGTTTGATTACTCTGGAGTCCAAATCTCCAAGGGTAGGTTTGTCTGTAGGAAACCCATGGCGGACCAATTCCATTTTAGAAAAGCCAGAATCAGGCCAGTTCTGTGACTGACGAGGGCCTCGACGTTGCGGAACGAGGCCCGTCAGCTATGTCAAGTGGCAAGAAGCTGTACTGGTCCGCTGGTCTCCGGAAATCTCTCAGATATTCGGAGTGAGGCGAGGTCGGGTGACAGATTTCTTGGTTTGGGTGGGCTGCAAACCGACTATCGAGCCACCGAAGAGATTTCTGCAATGAGGCAGCCTGTCATCTTTCGTAACCGACACTTTTGGCCCGGGGTTGAGAAAGGGGAAATTGCCGTTCACCCGTCGACATCAATTCTCTTGGGTGGTGAATATCAAATGGCATCGCTCTTTGGCAAAGAGCCTCCTAGACGCTTCGAGTAATTGTCACCTGGCCTCTCAGCAGTGTGCGGAGTCTAGGCTTTGTTAACCAGAACATTGTTGGAAGCGTGGGAGAGAAGGAACGGCGAGGGTAATCAGCAGAGTTGTATCGATATAACTCCGGTTCTGGGCCCTTGGGAGCAAAGACAGATGGTAACTATGCTGTGCTCAAGTTTGGCAACTTGGATGCATAGATTGATGACGAGTAGGATGGATGAGAAGCAAAGAAGAGAAAGGGGAGGAAGTTGCTTTTTTGTTTGTGTTCAGCCCCCTTGCTTTGGGTTTAGCGGATCTTGGCGCAGGTGGAAGCTGTGCACACCGCCTTTCTCGCATGCATAGTGTACTGACGGCCGCAATCACATTGATTCAATCACTGATTAGGGGTGATGTGTATCGACCTGTCTGCCTCCTTGCCCGACTCCTTGCCTGCTTTTTAGTACCTACCTGCGCCTCGCATCGTCGTAAACAGACAACTAGAACCATTCTGTTAGGGCAGAGGAACAAGACGGACACACACCGGCAAGACGGAGAAAGAACACTACAGAGCGAATGCCGAAAGAGATCTGTTCATTCCAAGTTATGTAAACTATGGTTAGAAGAAATCTATACCTGAGCGGGTCGAGCGTGTCGTGAAACGATCGACCGTGGACCGAGGATTTGAATATGCAGCAGCCAAATGGCTGGAGCTGGGAGGTCTCGGCTTCCCCACTGTGATGGCGACACAGGAGTACTGACACCCTGAACCGCGTGAAGGTGCCTCCCATCGCAGGGCAGGGTTGAACAGACGGTAACTACGCTGTGGTCAAAATTGGTGAACTTGGATGCATAGCTTCTTTGTTCTCCCAGAGTGAGATCAGCGGCTATTTTCTCTTTCAGTGTCTGAAGATTGTAGTCCACCTCAGTAGCCCACCTCCTTCGGACACTGAAAGGGAAAACAGCCATGGACCTCACTCTGGAAGAACAAAGCTATGCGTCCCCGTTCGCCAATTTTGAGCACAGCATAGTTACCATCCGTCCAAGCCTGGGTTAAACAAGTAGTGGTCGGAAGAGATCTTGCTGCGCCGCGTAGAGTACATAGATCTCGATCCGTTCGTGCCACTTGAAACGGCCTGAACGTTTCTGTCTTCGAGTCGCAATTTCTCCTTCTCGAACTTCGCGTCGCTGTCGGTCACTTATGGAGCCATTGGTCCTGTGTTGCTGTCAAGACTCGGCCCATGTCGCGAATATCACTCATGGCCAGTTGAGTAGATATTTGGTTGATAACGTCGGCGCAGCACAAGGCTGTTTTAGCTTCCTCCGGAGTGCCAATTTCTGTAGTTGTAGGGGGTTTTGCTTGACCACTTCCCAAACTTTGATTGGCATCGTCGCCACGGGATTAAAAGCTTTTCCTAAGCTCGACTTTTCTCATTTCGATGGGCCTCCGTGACACATGTTATCGAGGTGCCCGTTGGGAAGGATTTTCGTAAACGGGCCAACCAAGGCTACCATACGTGGTTGCAATGAAGGACGCAGCGATATACAGGCCCTATATAGTTGGAGTATAGCGACACGTACTCAAGTTTATAATCATCCACATCCTTTCCGCAAGATTGTAGAGTTTCGTGAAGCTTGAGATCCAAGAATTGGAGACCTTGAATACATAGGCTTTTCTAGAGATCGAGACTATGGCAAGGGATGAACAGGGGCGAGACTGGATAAGGTGGTGTTGCAGAGACGATATCGCTCTAGAATGTGGTCAAGGGCGGTGTTTGCCGTAGCGATGGCGTCGATGTGAGAGGAGAGAGCGCCAACTGAGCTTGACAGGGTAAATGATTCAGCGATTGCAATTGAAGGATTGAAGAGGAAGACGAAGTGGAGGGAAGATTATGCTGCCTTTTTATCCCTACTGTCAAGAATGCAAAAATCGCAGCTCTTGGTAGATTCGAAGCGACCCAGGGATCTTGTGATATTGGAGGGGCAGCGAGTGGCACCGAGGAGTAGAGGATGTGCCAATCAGTGTGTCGGTACCTTGTGCATATGAGACCTTCACACGCCCCCAGGATGTTTTTGATCTGCGTTGTATTAGAGGGGCGTGTCAGGGGCGTGTTGGCGAGTGGCAGGCGGGCTAGTGGGCTCTTGGAGCCGCTCAACAAGTGGTCGAGTCCAGTGTGGTTCTTGATCGGGGGAATAGCGAGGTTCGATGAGTGGCCGAGTTCAACACGAGCTCGGGGCTGTTAACAGCTTGGTGGAAATTGGGCCAGGCTGTTGATGCCTCGGGGGAAATTGAGCAACGTATTCCCTCGAAATATTATGCCAAGACCAAGGAACTGATAGCACAAAAGAGCTGAGACTCAGCGAAGAGTCGCCAAGAAGCACGTGCTCTTTCCAGAAACGCAGCCCAGAAGCTGCACTAGTGCCATTAACAAGGATGACATGTCACAACAACAAACTCTCTCCCCTTGCAGATGCTACCGCCTATTCATCTTCCAGAAGCCAGGGATATTATGCAGCCACCCAAATTGGAATCCCAGTCTTGGTGAGTGACAAGGTCGCAGACCTCGAACGCGATATCTTCGGTGCCTCTGGGGTCTGCACTGAGTTGGTTGGTGAGCGACAACAGCAAGAACAACGACAATGGGTCGACATGTCTTCCAGTCAGGTAGTTCGTTGACCACTGCTGAAGCAGAAACAGCTTTTGCCACGCGCCTTTGCCCTCTGTACTTCTGGTCCCGCACCACACGGGCCAAGTAGCAAACGCGCAGGCCAAACTCAGTTCGGTTGTTGTATTCATTTTGATATATTGATGCTTTCACTAGCTGACTGGTTGCAGATCTGCGCCAAGAGCATTCCGTTGTTCCTCCCCGGCCCCCTTCTTTTGGGTTCAGGCTACATACTCGAGACCGCAAAACTTGCACATGAAACCATTGGTTTTGAGAAGAAGCTGGAGCGGCCAGCACGGTCGAGCAGGTCTGCAGCCACTGGCCAATTGTTGGCGCACAGATCGTCATCACACTTGGTCTGCCTGAATGCAGCAAGGAGTGGCAGCAACACGGAGATAAGGTCGGCTTTGCCGACACCTGCACATCCGCCCTCTGTAGTCTTTGTCCTATCCCGCATCCGCGATGTCCAATGTACCCTGTTTGATATTGAGAAGAACAAGAGGCGGGAGACACGAAACAAGGGGCAAGAGCCAAGAGCCAAGCGGTGAACTTGGCTGCGGCCGAACCAGACGAGAGGCGCCACTGGCGGCGAAGCGAGATAATGCCTACGGTGAAAGTAGCCACGAAGCTCTCAGCGGACAGAAACCAAGTTCTCCCGTTTCTTTCGTCTCCAAATGCAATGGGTCTGGGCCTGGTCATGGGGTTCTGGCTTTGGAAATATGTGGTGGGAGTGTCGGCCATCACTTTGTGACTTCGATTTGGTATTCAGATGTGCACTGAGCAAGTCGGGCGTCAATTAGATGTAGACGATCAGCGCTGCAGATGTCATGCTTATCATCCGCTCCGTACTGTTAACTATGTTGTAACAGAAGCCGACTTTGGTGTTGTGAGCACGCAACTATTTCGAGTGTTACTTGCCGTGCCAAGTCAGCTTGGAAAATAAGTGGCCGAGGCAGTAAAGAGATCTCCAGAGCTATGAGGAGAGCTTTTGAGGAACCCTTGGTCATACGAAACTACCGTGGTTCGCTATGAAGGAAACCTTTTGGGGAACCTTTGGTAATATAATACTATCGTGTGTTGCTACTGACAGTAACAAGTACACCAATGCTAAGTCATGCCAAGAGGAGCTAGCAGCCTTGGCTTCACACTACACACCAAGCCCCATGGGGAAAAGCCATGACGTTTGTGTCTCCGCCGCGTTTGTCTCCCCCTCAACGACAAATCAACATGAGAGCATTCAATCAATCTCTCGTCGTATCAACACACGAGAGATTCTTTCCAGGCTAATTACTAAGCTCCTTCCGAGTCAGGTCATCATTATTGAGGAGAAGATGAACCAGTTCTGCGACTCCCACAGCGATTTCGCCGCCCTGCAGAGCGGCCAAATTCAACCAATGCCAAATGTACTCTCAGTGGCTGACAATTTGAATGCACAAGATACCAATCGCTTATTGGATGACGGCGACACGATTCATGTACAGCCTGCTCGTCCTAAGAACAACACTCAACCCTCTTTGAACTCGACAAAGAACAACACTCCACCCTCTTCGAATTCGACAAAGAAGAAAATCAAACCCTCTCCGAACTCGGTAAAGAAGAATACCCAGAAGAAAACCCGACCCTCTTCGAACCCTGCAAAGAAGAAGACTCAACCCTTTTCGAAATTGGCCTCGACCACGCCGACATATGTCACTCAACCAACGCTAGATGTCTCTTCAGCGATTAACAATTTGAATGCACGGGATATCAACAGCTTGTTGGGTGATGGCGACACGATTCATGGGCAGCCTGCTCGTCCTAGGAAGATCACCGAACCCTCTGCGAACTCGCCAAAGAAGAATGCTCAGCCCTCGTCGAACTCAGCCTCGGTAAACATCTCCTCAGCGAACGACAATTCGAATACACAAGATACTATCACCTTACCGAGTAGCGACGACACGGATATGCAGGCTACTCCTCACGAGAAGGGCACTCAACTCCCTTCGGACTCGAATCTCACCCGCGCGATGCCACTGTCTTCCATAGAATTGTATCAGACGCCGACAACCCCCCCTACGCTATGGCTTAACCAAATGGGCGAAAATCTTATCGCGAACGCTATGGGGCTTGCGACCGACCCAAAATTCGGCGGCGTAATCACTATCATAGGCTTCCCGCCAATACATCATGAATTGGCCGCTTACAAGTCAAAGATAGCCATGATTCCCACAGGACATGCCCGCGGTGTGGCATTCGACGACCATAAGGCGCCGGGGATCTCAACCTTAAGATTGTGGCCCTCGAGCAGCTTCCGTTTGCCAGACTTGTCGCCCACAGCCGATCAGCCTACGCTCGCGGAATGCGAGACATTTATTGACAAACTAACCAATACCCCTCCTAAACGTCCAATTCAATACTATGTGGGACCCTCTCTCGCTGCCGACCCGTTTTTCTCAAATCTAGACACCCTCCTTCATCCGGGCCAGCAACTATCGCAGCATGCACCTGTTGCTGGCGTTAGCACCATCTACTGGCATGTGGGGAAGACAGGGTCTGGAACCGCTTTCCATAAAGAAGATGCGGACTTCAGGTCTTGGAATCTAGCTATCTATGGCTGGAAGGCCTGGATTCTGATCAAGCCAAGTGAAACCGCCAAATTCGAAGAGTTTGTGAGATCCTTGGGGCCCTGCGGCGATTGTGATCAGTTTGTCCGACATCAAAACTTGCTGATCGGTCCGCAATCCCTCAAAAGTCAGGGAATTGGTTTTGATCTACTCTGTGCCGGCCCTGGACAACTGGTAGTGACACAGAAAGGGCAGTACCACGCAGTCATCAATATGACAGACTCCTTCGCCCTCTCCGTGAACTTTCTACTTCCGAACGAGCCACTTTTCCCGGAGAACATTGAGTTCTGCGCGCTCTGCGGACTGCATGTGCTCTACGAAGCCAAATACCCAAACAAACTCATACGCCCTCTTCCCTCGGGACAGCGGACCGCGCCAGCAACAATTAGCTCTTCGAGGAAACGCCGAAGATGAAAGATTCAGAGTGGAGCGTCAAGTGCCTCGCGACTCATTCCACCTCAAGAGACTCGCCATCTTCCGAAGGCCTTGCCTCGAGTGATGACCCGCTGGAGAAGAGGAAGGGGTTGCCGAAGAAAGGTGGAACTATAGACAAAGACGAGGAGGCCAGCCCTTGGCGGCAGGTGCCAGGAGAACCATCCTGATCACGAGATACAGAGCAATCTACACTTCTTATATGCAAGGGAAATAGAACGCAGGAAACCAGAACACAAGGAAAAAGCCAAGCAGGTTGACGAGCCTGAAGTAATTGCCTATCCTTCCAAAATACATTGCGTGTCTATTCTCTTCAGCTCCATGATCAAACTGATCATCCAATTTTTCCTAGAGCTCTGCATCTTTATCCCCGTCCTTCGCCTTTGACTTGTCCTTACGCTGATTTCTTCTCTTGCCTTTTTGCCGTTCTTCTTGCTCCCTTTGGTTTGGTTGCTGTCTGCAGGTCGTCGTTGTCAGTCGGTCTAGTGGTCTCTTCTGGGCCCGCTGCCGCAGAACCGCTGGGGCAGCGGCCTTGGTGATCTCTTTAGCTTGACCCTTGGTGGATGCAGTGGCTTCGGTTGTTTCTTTCCCCAGGTCTAGCGACCGTTCCAAACAGCCTCTGTTCATACTGACTGTCTTAATGTACTCCTTTTCACAGCGGGGAGGCTGATGGCCGCTAGCTGCCACCCACACAGTGCCACCACTGTCCACCGCAACACAGAGGCCGGGGAGGCTTGAAAGTTACACCGCAAAATCGCACCCATTCTCTCCGGATCTCGATTGCGGTGTCTGATTATATCCATTCTTTGACTCTGGTACGCGGGTTGGCATGAACCAGGCAACACAAGGTCTATCGTGGCGCAACCATTCGTAGGAGATACTCGACGCTTCTGGCAAGCAAGATGTGATTTCTGCGGTAGAGGTCTGTGCTACCTCGTGTGGGGTACCCAACCTTGTGCGGGGTCGCCTTGAAAGTGCCTTCGCACGTGACCGCACAGCCATTGTACCATGGAGCGTGATGACTTCTCTCCGGAGCCCCTCGGATTCTCCCATTTCTGAAGCAGTGATGTTTGGGCATTGAGCCCTCAGTCGGATGGTGAGGATTTGCAAGCTTGATATGTTGTTTCCAATTTCTCGGTCAATTTTGTAGAGCCGCATTGTGTTGTAGTCGTTTTTCGTTCCAGCCTCAATCCAACGCAGTCGTCTCCGCTCCTTTTGGTTCCGATGATATCCACTTCATCCTCAGGGAGTTTTGCAGCGCCTTTCATGCCGTCGGCGAGGGATAATGAGGGAGCCGAAGTACTGCAGCAGAAGAAATTGAGCGGAGGGAGGGGCAATAGTTTTTAGGGTACATTACGTCTTCTCACTGCGCCCTTCTCATTCGTCATATCCACGAGAATATAGACGAACTCACTGGCAATCCGTCACAACAGATCATCCAACGTCTTGTAGAAGGATATCCCTCTCCTCTGCCCGAATTTTGTGGGGGCACACCACGTTGGACTGTCGGTAGTCCAAGTGTGAAGGCGAGGCTTCGTCATTGACCACCGGGCTCAACATGATGTCCAGCTGACGCTGAATTTTGAGCCGCTCACTCTAGATTTCTCCTGCAGATACGCGACCATCTCTTCAAGGAATAATTCCGGACGTTCATCGAGATGGGGGAGGGTATCGCGCTCGCGGGAGATGTGGAGGAGAGTCATCTGCTATTATGACAAAATACCATGGCGCTGCCAAATTTGGGCAGATGCATATTAGCGGCCCTGATGGCACTGGTGGTCGCTTTTCATAATCAGGCCATTGTTGAAGCCAAGCTGAGCTCGAAACGCGGCCAGTCCTACCTCGAGCTGTAATCGTTGCATCAAATATAGCTGACGGTATGGGGTGAATGGCAGAGCGCCACTATTCTCTCCGTACTTTGTGTAAATGAGTTGTCGCCTTCGATTCAAGAATGGACCAAACTGCGCAGCGGACAATTCGCCCAGATGCCAAGGGAAAGCTCGGCACTGATGTGGAGCCCACACCACTTTATATTTTTGCATACCAAAAATGCGATCAAGAATTAGCCAAACAGTCTCCGTGGCGCAATGGTTAACGTGAGTTTTCCAGCAACACTGATCATAAAGTATTAACAAGGCTAACATTTCATAGGCGTTTGACTGTTAATCAAAAGATTGGTGGTTCGATCCCACCCGGGGACGTTTGCTTTCTTTTTTTCCCTTTTTCTCTTTTTTTTTTTGGGTGTGCTACACGATGGCAGGACACTGGTGCAAATTGAGTGCAGTCTCGCGGTCTGCCCCTGCCCGGCACGCCGCTGTGACGAAAGCGATCTCAGAAAGACTCTGTCTGAAAGTGGGCAGGTGTGGCAGACGTCCTTCTGCAGCCATGTGTCGAGAGCCAAATATCCAGGATCGGGCTTGCTGCAATCGTTCTTTGAACGAAGATTACCACAATATATTGGACTGCGGAGAACATTGTGGAAAACCCTCTCCCCTCAGCACTTGCCCACAAGCTTCAGGCAGAGACGACGGGAAGCTCGGGGACAAATCGTTTAAATCAGAAGCGGTCGAGACGGGACTGTGAAAGCCGGCAAAGGACTCACGTCACGGTGCTCATGAACCGGCTGAAGTGTATAAGAAGCCTGCGAAGCTTGCTAACTGGAAACAAGCAGCTTCCCTTGCCGTGCCAGATATGCCACTGCCTTTTGGGCCATGATTGAAAGTGCAAGCCAGTCGAGAGGCCTTGAACCAGCTTCTCAACCCAGGAAGAAGATATCTTGAGAGCGCAGCAATGTCTCTCTCGTCGTCGTCGAGTGATCCATGAATAGGCAGCGCATCCATGTGAACTGGTATTCACGGTGAGTGCAGCGGCTTCCTTCATACTTCGTCCTCTTCCTTTATTGCCATGAGCCATCCCTGGAATCCTTGTTACGGCAGTTTCGTTCCCTGCCTTCCCCGGCGTGATACTCTCACTTTGGCTCGCAAACTCTGTTATATGAGGTAGGGCACAGGCCGTTCAAGATCGGGATGTAGGCTGGCGTATTTTCCATTTCCATTTCCATCTCCGACCCTGAGCATGGGACTGAGGCTCGCCGCTGCAACATGAAACGTCGAGAGGGATTATTGGGACAAAAAAGAGATAGGACTGGAGAGGCCTTCATCTATGAGCACCTCAAACCGATTCAGGACCATCCATCCGCGCTGTTTGAAGACCGTGGTCCCCGAACCCTCTCCAAAGCCACTGCGTCTTGAAATGAGTGATTTTGTCCCTGGGGGCTCCGCTCCACTAGCAAAGGTCATCCTCCTGTGAAAGAGGGTGTAATAGATGTATTGTCTAGCTAAATCTATCGCTCGGGGGAGGCCGCTTTTATAGGTATAATTATAAGCGCCTTGGCGGTAATTCACACACCTGATGTGTATGAATGACTGGGTTTCCGCCTCGGTACCTCTTCTGATAATTCAAATCTCTCCTTTTCTTGTCAGTCACCCTGGGCGCCTCAGGGCATAGCAACTTTCGACGTTGGCATTTACGGCACAGAGGCGGCAGTCTGACCTACTTCAGAGCTTTTCGCATCTGGAAATGTTCTTCCCATTCCCAGTTCCACACATTTCGAGCCTCAGCAGTCCCAGACAGTGAGTGGTCACACTGGTACAACCTTCTCTGCATCTGCCAACTCCCACACTATCCGAAGCTGTGAAGCTGATTTTCTCTTCACACCTCAAACAAAGACGGTATACCCTTGTGGACCTGGAATAGCGTACACTCTTCAGCATATTATTTAAGTATTGCCCGATGCTGGATTTGTTGATTGAAGATCAAAAGACATGATCCCTGGAATCGTGATTGTTCTGTCTCCCTTATTGTCAGGTCAAATAGAGGACTTACGATATCAATCTCTTCTCGACCGGCAAGCATCATCATTCAGTCAGCATTCAGTTCTTACTGAGTGTCGGCATCTTTAAATAGGTGATGGCCTTGTCGAGTGCTCATCAGCTTCCGCGGCAGGACCAAGATTCCAACATCTTAGCCGCAAGGGCAGCTATCACTGCAAATGCTCGCATCCCTTGGGTTCAGGGAAACTCGTTCACAATCAAAATGAATGGGGTATGCTCCGCTCGCCTCGCGATCGGGTCTTCACTATTGATAAAATGGGAAGGGCTCTCTACTCACACGAACGCAAATATCACCGCCACCCACAATTGACCTTCCGAGCCTTTCTTTGATCTTTCTCTTACCGGTCCGCCTCCTTGCAGAGATGCTCGAGTTTCTCTAACAACTTCCCAACATTTTTGAAATGACCGTGCTGTTCCTGTGCGTTCAGAATCTCGTCAACCTCATCGACTCGAAATCCTTTCGTTTGACCTTCATCATCTGCCTTGACAATGGTGAAAGGTTGGAAAGGTTGGAAAGGTTCCTTCGTTTCCACCATCTCCTGCCTTCCATTCCTAACCTGCGGAGCCAACTCCTCTGTTATGTCTTCAATCTCCACAAGCCCTCTGCGTTTCTTACATCCGAGTTCTTCTCCCCGACTGAGGTGCCCGGAGCTGATGCCTTCTCGCTGTTGGATCGGTTACCGACGATCTCGGTTGACGTGGGCTTGTGATGCGCTGGCCACTCGAGGAAGCGGGACAAGAGACTCCCTCGTGGCAGCAGCAATATCGCAGCTAGTCAGTATTGGACGGCGACCCTGCGCATTACGCGACTTGGGAGTACATTCTCATGAATGTTTCCGTCAGCACAAACAGATTGGGCAGAGGGCAAAGTGTGCTGCAAAACCGAGCGAGTATTAGGGTTGCGAGATCACCACCCAGTTAGTCGTTGCCAGCTTGATCAACAGTATCTACAGTTCTCAGTGTTACAATAGTATACAATATCCCAGGACTGGTCTCCTGTGAAGCTGACCTCACTGTTCGAGGTGATTTGTAGATGTGTTTCGCCCGGTGTGGGGGCTGCTTTCAATTTTGTCTTTTGGTGTTTCCGGTTTCCGTTCCCGGCGCAAGGCCCGGCTATTATCACCGCATCCACGCGAATCTGAGCCGTGTGTGGTTCGACAAGGTTTTGATGTCCTGCTCTCTTGCTTGGATTCGGACTCTGTCCACGTCTTCGAGGCTCAGAACCCGGTAGAACTTTGTTTGGAGGCCGTTCTTGTCCCGCTGTTGGCCGAAATAGTTGTTGAATGCGTCGACGACTTCGTGCCACCCCATTTGCAGATCCACCCTGTGGTACCAGATAAAGTACCCCTGCTCCCTTGTGTATTTGAGACTTCCGGTGGTGTTTCGCCGCCGTCGACCCGGGTCGACGGACGTGGTCGTGGCTGAGGCGTCGTCGTTTTGGTCGGGTCCACCCGAGTCTCCTGTGCTGTTGAGGACGGATGAGATTCTCATCTTTTCCATGCTGGTGGAGATAGGCCGAGAGGGGTTACATAACTAGACTGTAAATCTTGATTATGTTTAACGCAAAGCGGGTCTGACTGTGGTGCGCAGCTGATGGAGCTACCTGTGCGCTACTTGTGCGCTTGTGAAAACCTTATTACTTGGCCGGCCCTAGCGGCTTGGTAACCTGGGGCTTACGGAACGTCAGAGATAGAGGAACACCTCCAACACCAACCACCTGAAATAGAAGCATGAAAGGGTGGAGGTGTGAACACCCGGCCCGATTTTGACGCCTCAAATTGGGCTTCGAGAAGTCTGAAGCCTTGCCAAAGGACCGAACAAAATCAATCGATGCAAGAGAAAAGGTTGAGGATGAAAAATCGTCAAATGACCCACATAAAGCTGCCGCTGCTGAGGGGTTATCCACCAACTCCACTGATGCTGTTAGTTAAATTCGTAGTCGTTCAAGGGATCCCACTCCTCCTCTCGCCATCGTATACCTATTCCCCATTTTCCACGCGGTCCAATTCGTTCATTGGTGCATATGCACTGGTCTCTACCCCCGTCATGAAGTCCCATCCTGTCTCATCAACGTCATCAGAAGTCTCCCAGCCTCGGGAACGGTCCTCTTCTGCGCCGGCTAGCAAGGCAGGGTCGACGAGCGTGCTGTCAGAGTCAAAGTCCAAGGAGGCTGGCGAGTTTGGTGTTGTAATAGTGTCTGAGAGAGGGCCCGCAGAGAAAATTTCGTAACTCTCACCGCAATCCGAGCTGCCACTGCTGGCTTGAATGTCGCTGTGTGTATCGAGATTGGTGAAGGGTTCGTTGTCGAAGCCGGGGCTCTCCAACGTCTCTGCCAACATGTTGGTATCGTCGTCATCTCTGCGTGCTTTTTTCTGCGGCATCTCTTCTGACAAGTCCAAGACGTAAACTCCCGGCATCAACGGGTCGGTGATCTTATCCTCTCTTTTTCGCTTGGTGCAGACGGGCTTCCGCAGACGGGCTGACGGTTTTACGGCCGGCGTTTCGTCGAGGTGCTTCCGAGAAAGCACTGGAGTATACATCTTGCCATGCGTCGTCTCCATATGGCTGCTCCACTTTGTTCCGCGGAAGATTGTATGAGGGAGGGATACCGTCGTCGGCTGTGGTCGACAAGATGGGGAGCGCAAGAGTTAGGAGACTCTGTAGCATGAGCTTAGGTTAGCAAGCTGAAGGCTGTCGCAATGGCCGAGAGGGGTGGCAGACCGAAATGCGATGGCGGAGCCTTTATGAAAGTGTCTATCTGACTTCGCGGGGGACTGCGCTGAGACCGCAGTGTCTTGAAAGCGACATGTGTCACGTGTGTCACGTGCGCCAACTGCGCTGCGGTGTGCAGCCTGCAACGATCGCACTGCTGCTCTCTCCCTCTCCTTCTGTCATTCTTTGTTCCTGCATCCCTTTCTGCTCTTGGTCTTGCATACTGATCTTTGCTGACTTCGACGTACAGCTTGCTTACCTGCTTTCTGTGTATGCACCCGAGTGACACTGCGTACCATGCCAATCAACCCATCCAAGGGTTTTGAAGATCCGACAAATCCCAAGAGAAAAGCGAAATAAAGCAAAGCTAGAGCTAGAAATCAAGGCAATGGCAAGATTTCTGTTTGTGTTCGCACCGAATACATAGCCATTTCACCCGCAGGCAGAGCAGAACACAACACAACAGAAGAAAACAGAAGGGCGTCGACAGGATGGGAAGGATATGTCGATCATGGTGCTCCTCCTGCCACCGCCCGCCGATGTCACATTCCGAACGGGGGAGGCAGTTTTGCATGCAGCATGGGAGATGCAACACATCGACAGATAGACGACAAGTAATACACGTTGAATGCACAGATCCCACACCAGCGGTGATGACGAAGGTACGGCGCTGGACGCCCTGAACCTTGAATCTCATCCAGCTGGCAAGGCTGCGATCATTCAATCGCCATCGCCATGCTCAGGACCCTCCATCGTTATCGGCATAGTCGTATACATGGCCCCAAGAGAAAACGGGAATCGGAATGAGAATGCACATGGAACACTGTTGAAGACAATAGAACCCACCTAACACAACACAATACAACATAACACCGAAGCTGGGCCGGTTCAAAGAGCGCGAAGGCCGATGCAGACGCAGGGAGACGCCGGCGCAAGCAGACCTAGACAGTCACTGCCACACAGGCGCAGATCGCAAGCACGCTCCAAACATTGATGTGGTGCGTTGTATGTGGTGTGGTCTGGTGGGTTAAGTTGACCGTGCACAAAAAAAACAGAACAAAACAAAACTGCTACTGACCACGCAGACTTCGCGGGCGTCTGGCGCGTGTGCCGTGGTAGTGCTGGTTGCGATGGCTCAACATTCCAGGTGGGATTGAATTCGATTGCGCTCGATTAGTTGACCGTGTTTGTGGGCATTGAATTTTTGGAGCTGGATGGCACGCTGGGTGCCAAGGAAAGAAACGCGGATACCTATTTATCATTGTTTGCTTGATTGGATGGTTGCTTTCGATGTTTGAATGCCATCTCCTTCTTCGTGGAGTCTTGTCAATGTCATGTCATCATCACATCGCATCTATCTATCGCCGACTAATCTGATTGACTCATTGACTGAGTCACTCTCTGAGCTTCCCCATCTATTAAGCCACCACGATTCTCTTCCGCATCACTCCGGACTATGTGCCTTTCTTTGTCACCCGTCTCTCTCGTCCGGCTCTCCCGGTCATTACCACACACCTGGTAGACAATGAGCGGTTCTGGGCTTCCATGTTTGCCCTTTTCAGAAGCATTTCGTAGACGGTTGCCTGCCAGTTGCACCACGCAGAGAAGACAAGGAAGATTCCATCGTTATAGAAATGTCTTCTCCTTGGATCGCTCAATCCTGAATGGACTGTCCCATGAGCCAAAAAGGAGGGCTACCACTGAAAGAGGGCCTCAGTTTCCATTTCAATAGATCCCCCTCCTCTGAAAAACTTCTTCTGTATGCCAACTCTAGGATCCTGCTCTTAAGACTCTCTCGATCAGCGTAATGGATGTAGTATCGTGTCCGTCTCTTAAGTCGTAGAATTCCTCCTCGCTCTTTCACGTTAATATTAACCGTAGCGGTCAAGTCTGCGGCGTACGGCCCGAGGGAACGGGGTTTGCAGGGGCGTCAGAAGTCGTTTGATTTAATCCGTACCTGATTGAAGGCTGTTGATTGACGTGACCATCGGACGTATACCTTGGAAGTCTCGGCTTCCTCGCCGCGCTGGCGAAGTAGGAATGCTGACACCCTGCAACCCGTGAAGGTACCCCCCATCCCCAGGCGTGTTTTGGTTACCCATCATTCGTAGCACGTAGATACCGAGCTGGAGCTCAACTCGGTACACGAGCAGGGCGCAATTCTTGAACATGCGGTCTGTCCGGGTTCATTCGTGCGGGCGGGCGGAATGGAACAGCCTCTTCTGGATGCTATTTGTCTGTCAGGTTAGCGGTCTGCCACCGCCGTTGCCTGGGCCGGTCAGACAACCCTTCCCTGAATACGGGTGCGAAAAGGTGGAATGCATGGCTTGCTATATTATTGTGCTGGCATCTCTTCTCTTCTGTTTTCTTCTCCTCTGGCCGTGAGTGGATTAAGCAGGCAGGCGGACGAGCGCATCAATCGAGGAGGCACGGGGAGTTGGGGGGTGGAGGCATCGAAGCATCCCGGTATTGAAGTCCCCAAAGCCAATAAGGCAAGAGAAGGCAGCATGACAAGTAGTCCATCTGTTGTCAATCTATCTTCCAACAGCACAGACAAGCACAAGATTCTACCTTCATCCAGTAGGCGCAGCGGCCGGGACAAAGTCATTATTTTGTTTGTTTATGCTCGGTTGACGTCATTGTTTACTGTCGACGTCACGCAGCCAATCTTGGCGCAACACGTGACTGCGCGTGAGATTTTCGACCAAGTTGACATTATTTCGCACCGTACTCGGTACATCATCAAACCTGAGCCGTTCCAATTTGATTCATTGCTCCTGTGATCAAATCAGCATTGATAACCACGGTAACTCGATGAGACTCATTATCCTCGAAGTTATTCGACCCGACCCTCGCCGGCCGATTAGTTGCTTCTGCGATCGCTTCAAATTTGCGTTGATCAACCAGTCGTTTGGCTCGCTGAGGATCCGTCTGAGATCATATCAAAATCGGATTCGTGGTGTTTCAACTGCCTTCTGTGAAACTATTACTAGCCTATGAATGTTTGATGAGCTGCTCCCGAGATCGCCTCGAATTAGCTGCCGTTGGGTATTGTTGCTGGAAGCTTTACCTCTTCATCAAACCCTCCAATCTCGAACCCTCGAACCTCGAACCTTCGAATCTAGAAATTATATTCTGAAAGACAAGGGAATCAAATATTGAAAGAGGTAAGAATCACACACTGAAAGAGCTGGGAATCACCCGTCTCTGATATGGAGAAACTGATTGAAGTCGTGTGAGATTTTCAATCAAATAGCGCTTGTGTTCCGTTCAAGTCTGAGCGGCGTGATAGCTCTTGTGGCCCGTGAGAATCTTGCACTGGCTACTGGCACATTCAAGACCACTACCGCAGTCGATTCCGTCGGGCGCGGTGGTGTCTGTCGGACATGTTCCATTGGTACCAGAGCAAGTATCGGCGGGATCACATTGGCCGGTGCTAGCACGGCAGACAGTCCCAGTAGAAGCGAGCTGGTAAGTCGACGTGCAACACGCTTCGTTGCTGGGGTCGCAGACAGCGCCTGAATTGAACTTGCAAGTCGTGGGATTACAGCAGCTGTTCCCCGCACAAGATTCGCTGACGCCAAAATCACAATCTTCACCCTCAACAATACCATTGCCACATTGTTTCCCATTAATGGTCATAACGACTTTTTTTTTGGTGAAGCTCTGGGACTGAACGGAGTTGCGGCTTTAGTGCACTTCAAATATTACCGGCCGAGCAAGGCGAGAATTTGGTGCTATCTGATGAGGAATAAGGATTCATCATGTATTGGGCATTGGCATCGCAAGTGCTGGACAAGAGGGGGCAGCTTGGCCTGAGTTGACAATATTGCAATCGGCACAGTTGCTGGATTCGCATTCGTCGACGGCAACTGCGCTGTCTGACGCCTTGCGTCTGCAGTCCACAATGTGTAATGTCTGGTGTCTGATTTGGTAGTGCCGCCATCGCTCGCCGCTTGGAGCTCGCTGGCAACTCCATGCCACTCCCACAGCATGCCCTGTGGGACACCGCTGCTCTTTGCTGCAATCCCCCGTTGAGTCTCATGTCATATGACACACCAGCGCTGCAAATATCAGCCTTGCACATGATACCCCGGTGCTGCATGTATGCTGCAAGTATGTCGTGCATACTTTGTTAGCATGTCAACCCGCATGTCATCCACGTCACGGGGCTCCAACTGAATGAATCGGGAAGTGCACAGGGCTGTTTCATGAATAGTGACGGCCCATACCACAACCCATCTGCCAAGCCGTAAAACGTCAATATCACGCCGAATGCACGCTGCGAGGGAGGGAGGCGAGGAGGAACGGCAGAGACCGGGTCGAGTGTGTGTGTGCGCATGGCGCTCAGCCAGCCAGCTTATATATTGGAGCAAAGCAGAGCAAAGCAGAGCAAAGCAGAGCAAAGCAGAGCAAAGCAGAGCAAAGCAGAGCAAAGCAGAGCAAAGTAATGTAGACCAAACTAGACCACACTAGACGACTCTACCCGGTAGCCTACGAGTCCGCGCCCGATTGTACTAAACAAGAATTGCATGCATTGCGTGGCGAAACTATCAAAGATAGCTGGAAAGCATGCCCAATCTCTTTATTTCTAGGCTATATAGGTAGCCTCCTTCGCCCTTCAGATGAACATGGGGACAACTTGAACACCTCATGTTTCGATAGAAACATCCAATGACCACTCCTGGCATAGTCGAGCTTATGCGCTGTTCATTCCTCCATTTCTTTCTTATCCAATGCGCGCAAGACTTAATTCATTTCATTGTGTTTTCGGTTTCCCGGGACATACTCGTGAGTCTGCCCTTATGCAGGCAAGCAGGCAAGCAGGTAGACAGCCCGGAAAGCCATCAAGATTATCAATGTGGCGTTCCGTGGGAGATGATATGTGACGGTGGACCGGCGAGTTCCGAATCGTTGTCGAGGTGGTGCCCTCTACGCCTTTGAAAGAGACAGAGTATATGGTGTGACCCAAAGGCAAATTATGCTCGGCGTGTGTCTTGAAAGCCCGCCCTTGTCTTTAACCTTCCATCTCCTTGTTCCCTTTCCCTGTCACTGGAGCGATGATATGCTGGATCTGTTTTCGCGTTCTGAACAGTCTTTGTGGACCTCGGACGAAGTACCTGGGTTATCTTCTGACCAGGTGATTAAGAAGAACTAAGTCTGCAGAAATTAGACCAATTTGGTTCCCTGTTGTTCAGTATCTGGTAGTCGTTGGCCATGCTGCAAAGGCAACACCTGGTGCAACATGAACAATGGTTGCTGCACGAGCAGAGAGTCTGTACCATAAACCAAGGTCACAGTTCTCAGAAATACTTTGCTGCCACAGACCACTGAAAAGAGACCATGAAAGACAATCCCCAAAGTAACGAATACCCGTCACGCATCGTCGCACCGTCTTGGGTCAGCTAATTCAGCTGAAAGAAACACCTTTAAGAGAATGGGAACGCTCTCAGGGATGGCTTGGCAGCAAGCTATCTAAGAAGTATATTGCCTATCTATAGGCGCAGTGCGACAGGGACTTCGAAGCTCAAGAGCTTCAAAGGGGTGGTCTGTAACCTCGTGCTATATACATGTAGCCTTTTAGTGCCTTCGCGTCTTGGCATCCGTAACAAACGCATTCAATTAATGGACAACATCGGTATGTATCTATCTCCTTCTCTTGAGATTTTTTGGAGACAAGCTCGGGCGAGAACTTGAGATATGATACCTGTCTGAGCTGCGTGCTAAATAGCTATAGATTGCTTCGGGTGATATCCCCGTAGCCTTTTGTGAAACAGAAAACATGTTGACAGGGTCGCGAGATCGCCACTGTGGCAAACCGTCTGAGACGCTAGGCGTTTCACCAACTGCGGCACCTACCTCAACCTCGTTGTTCTCGCCGATCTGTGATAGGATGGCGACGGAATAGGAGGTTTCAGGAATGGCCTTCAGATCACAGGCCAAAGTATATATAAACAACAGAGTCTCTCTGAATAGCCAGGGGGAGGCAACACAACCCAGCAGACAGATCCACTCTCATTCTGTGTACAACAAAACATCTCAAGCGCATGAAGACATACCGCCTATGGATAGTTCTTCACCCGTTTTTCCGAGAAAGTTGCTCCTATGACCTTGGTCAAGTTAAAGAGATGCAGCTGATGAAATTATCCACTCTGTTCCTCCAACATTTACAGCTCGAGGTGGCCATTTGGCCTGACGTTTTTCTTGCCTTCTAATTCACGATGTGCTATCGCTGCGTACCTGAGATGATATGCACCTTGTGCTATCCTCTTCTTGATTCAGCTTGCCTTCTTTGACGAGGGGTCACGGCGGTGGTGCTGCAGAGCTCAAACAACCCTCGTTTGTTGCGATGAACTGTCGCTGCCGCGGCATCATCATAACCGACAGATTCTCGGGAAGTCGGGCGAGAGGTATCTTGCAAGAGGCGGGATCGCTCAGATCAGACGGCATGACCTTTTCTTTGTCTTCCCGACATCAGGACTTTCCTTGCCATGTGTCTTTGCATTTACGGCTGGGGCTATTCAAGTTTTTTTTTTTTTTTTAGTTTTTTTTGGTCAGCTGTCGGGAGAGGTCGACCTACCACACCCACGCCAGCACCGTCGGTGAGCTCTTTCACCTGATCTCACCAGCTGGGCCTAGCCGTAGCTCTATAGATCGATTGAACTTGACATTTGGATCCACGTGGCAGAGGATGGATATGATCCAACTCTCCTTGCCCACTGGCTCTTCACCGACGCGAAGGTCATAAAAGACATGCAGGCAGATGAACAACGAGCTGTTGAGCTGATAATTGGAATTGACAGGAGGAGGTTAGGGAGGCCGTGGTCAACAAATTGCGAATGCCAGCTGGCTGTGAGACGGAAACTTCGCGCTTGTGTGTTGATTGAGTGGTATGAAGACAGCAATCTTTGCAAGTCGAATCCAGCTAAACGAAACCACGGAACTCTGCTTCACGACGACTGCGTCGTATAACTAGTTAGCTACGGCGACGGACCAACTAAAAAACGGCTTAAGAAAGAGTAAGGCTAATAAATTAGCGGTGTAATAGTGTCTTTACGGCCCTTATTCTCTTTCGTCTATACGATATTTCTCGAGGCTTCTCTACCTTAGTAATCGTAAGCGCATCGCTATCTCTCTAAGTAGATAAATAAATAAGATATAATTAATTAGATAGAATTACTTCTATTCTATATTTAATATCGACGCGAAGATTATAAAAGATATATAGATAAATGAATAACGAACTATTAAGCTAATAATTAAAATTAATAGAAGGAGATTAGGGAGGCCGTAGTTAATAAATTACGAATACTAGCTAACTATAAGACGAAAACTTCGCGCTTATATATTAATTAAGTAATATAAAGATAGCAATCTTTATAAGTCGAATCTAGCTAAACGAAACCACGGAACTCTACTCCACGACGACTGCGCCGTACAACTAGTTAGCTGCGGCGATGGACCAACTAAAAAACGGCTTAAGAAAGAGTAAGGCTAACGGATTGGCGGTGTAATAGTGTCTCTACGGCCCTCATTCTCTTTCGTCCATGCGACATTCCTCGAGGCTTCCCTGCCCTGGTAATCGTGAGCGCACCGCTGTCTCTCTGAGTAGGTAGATGGACAAGACACAATTAATTAGATAGAACCACTCCTGTTCTGTGTCCAACAGCAGCCATGCTCATTAAAGACCCACTAATGTCGTCTTGATCTGACAGCCCCTTGAGGATGTTGATGCAAGACGACACGGGAAGAGCAGAGTATTCCGCGTAGCTGTGGGAGTCAGCTCTGACCACCCTGTAGCCTTCTTTGACGCTAGAGAGATTTCCTCCTTTAGTTGCCACGACCGCCCCTGCTGCCTCATGTACCCAAAGTTGACACCAGATCGAAATTAGATGAAAATGCTATTTCCAAGCCTAATGGTTCATCACACAGTTTGATATCGTTGCAAACTGGCCGAAGACTGTTTTTTGTTCTGTTAGCTAACGCGCCCTCTTTTCTACGCCAACAAGTCGTAAGATATGGAGGAAAACAGCTCCTAGATCAAAGGGGAAAAGAAAACCAGATGGTATCGCTGCCGAGACAAAAAGGAGTTGTCGATCAACACATAATTGCAAAACGATTCTGCAGGGAATGGGTAGAATTGCCGCAACACAATTTCAAAGGAACGGGGAATGTAGAGTCTAGACTGACGATCAATTTCGACCTATGGGTGAAAGTTTGGACCAGATCACACTATTCATATAGCGATGACCTCGCAGCTTAGAGAACATCATCAGCTCAGCACTGTGGATACGGAAACAGTATTTAATCTCAATCATGCAGTGCCGAACTGTTTTACACAGAATGAGAGTGGATTCATCTGCTTGATTGTGTTCTCTCCTCTGGCTTTTCAGAGAGACTCTGCCTGTCTATATACTATTTACACTGTGGTAAGAAGCGATCCGCTGAATAGATCTGGACTTGGCCAGATCTGTCCAGACCTCGTTGTCGATTAACGGTGGCACCGAGGCTATTATAGAGAGGCCTCGGTTGAAGCATTGGTGGATTGATTGGTTTGCCACAGTGGCGCTCCGCTGCCAACACGAACTTACTAGTGTTGGACGTTTTCCATCCTGTTTTGATACAGGTACATTGCCGATAATGCAAGGGAAGGGGAGTGCCGACCCGTCTCTTCCAGTTCCGAGATAAGCCGAAATTTCTCTTCACCCTAACACTGACTGCTCTGGATTGCACACTGGCATTGAGCAGGTGTAATCGCAGGGCTCATGGAGTGGTCACAAGGGTTGATGATGTGGCGTATCTGAATTTGTGCTGACCCTTCTTTATTGTAAATTTTATACCCAGCAAGACAACTGTGAAGCACAGCATGCGTCTGTCCTTCTAGAGATCCCCGGCAACCAACCTGTCGTCGGAAACTGGTGCAATGGAAAAAGTATTGAAGCCGGCTGTAGCGCCGTGGGCTTGTCGATCTACATCTGGCTCCTCTTCATGCCAGAGGCTCGCTGACGTTGTGTCTCCCACTCACCGACCATGTCTTCATTTGAGGGGCAAAGGGAAGAGAGCCAGGTGGGTGATGTTTGAGAGACCTAGGGCTGGAGCATCGTCTCCAGCGCGGTCTGAGATCAGAGCTCACCACCCGATACAGTTCGTGAGATTGACATGGACTTCGTGAACCGCTTCAAAACTATAGAATACTGTGCTCAACCTGTAAAGAATGGCTTAGTATTATTACGCTCAGCTTCTTTTAGTAATTTGTTCCTGCCATAAAGCCTTCCACCCATAGCAGAATAACGCTAGGTCTTTCGTTTTGACATGTAACTAGCCACAGTGCAACCCCATTTCCTCGCTCCAGTATGTATGTATAGAACTTCAGACTTCGTAAAAGCAGGAGCGAGGCATAGCGCTGTGACTCGGAACGCCTCCAAGAGTTCGCTATCGGTAGGCAAAATTGCCTGCAGGGGTTTCTGGGCCGAGTTTAGAAGGCTGAGGCTGAGATGCCGCTGGATTTGATGGCCGCTTCTCCACCTTGTGAATTCGCCGCTTGTGGTCTTCGAAATTTTCCTTCCGCATATAAGGCTTTCCTGAGCTTCGCGGGCGATTCGGAAAAGAACAAAATATCGGTGTCTTCTTCGCCGAGAGATACATTTTGTGTACTTCTTGCTCATGACGTAAAAGCCCGCCGTGATAAGTGAATCCTGGTCTCAGCTCATGGCCAGCTTCCTGACACTGATAGAGTCGTTCGTGCCGTACGATGTGCCTCGTTTAGTCGCAGACTCTGCTGCAGACTTTTGCTTTTACCACTGCATTCAACATAGTCGCCATCCATTCGACGCGGTATTGTTCTATCAAGACCTGAGTCTCCTGGCAGCTGGGTAAGCCATCGTTGCATCGAGGGAACGTGCCGGGAGATGTTCTCGTTTGCCATTACAATATATGGCTTCCTTGATTACGGTTGGTATTGAACAGGATAGAAGGAGTGGGTGGAACTTCTGCGAGGGCAAAGAGCAAAGGGGAAGGAGAGCTGTGACTGGAATACCGATGATCAATTGTGCTGGGTGCCGAATTTGAGCTTTATGGGCTGCTCGAAATATGTTCGAGGTAAACGCATATCGAGAGTTGATGTACTTCTTGGTTTTTTTGATCTTCTCCCTCGATATGTGAAACGCAAAGAGCTGAACGCCTCCCGTAATGTTTTGGCAGATACGGTTGGCCACCAGTAGATCATTGCTCCGAGGCCGATAGAACTCACAGAACGGAGGACGTTGAGCTCGCTCTATCTCGACTGGGTGCGAAAGCGCCGCGGTTATGGAGTCCTCGCGTGGGACAGTCACAAATATCGAGTAACAGGCCAGTCTCAAAGCCCATCTGATTGGTACCACAATTTGCAGCAGGACGACCTCAGAATGGATAAAGACGACATGAAAGGTTAAGAATGGCTTTCTTAACACAGGAGGAGATCACTGAAAGGACCCTAGTCTACTGATAGAAACGCTCGACGACAAATCAGTTGCGTCAGCAGCCTGGAGAATTTTATCACAGAAAGCTGTGGTCTCAGCCGCTCTTTTTAGTCCACGGGCCTTCGGTCGACAGGAGTTTTGGTAGGATCGCGTTGCTCTTCAAGGTATCCGCGGAGGGAGAGGAATGCCAGGCTGTTGGTGTTTGGGCGACCGCTGCGTCGTTTCTTGGAGATCACATTTAACCTTGAGGTCAGCGTTTGACTTCCACGGCTGGGACATATGCAATGCCGGTACGGCGACGCGCGCTGGTGACACACACACACACACACATTGTTAGGCATATTGAGATAGTGGGTGCTTGCATCCTTCCGATGAGTGAGCCGAGATCTGATGGAGGGCTAAAGAAATGCCGTTGTGTGGACTGAAGTATAGACTTGTCTCGCAAACAACGAGAATCAGTCTGAAGGCTTAAAGCTTTCCTTTTCGAAAGCCACTTGACAGCAAGAAATAAACACGTAGCTAGCTTTAGCCTTTTTACTAGCTGTAAAGCAAGGCGAGGGTAAGCAAGCAAATCGCTTTCCGGCGACATAGCTTGAGCTTTGCACGGCCGTGTGTGGGAAGATATCGGGAAGACAGTGTGGGAAGACATAACAGGGAAGACGTGGAGATTTACGTCGAATAACCATCTAGATACGACCAAAGAGAAACAAACTCTGGAACCCGCGAAATTACCTGAACCTTGTTCAAACTACATCGTTCTATCCCGAGATGCCTTTTGTCTTCGACATCAATTGTCGATTCTCCTCTTCATGCCCGCCCATGGAGACGAGGACCGCGTCGTGACCATCGCAGCAGATATTGTCTGAGGTCACTGGAGGGCGCAGAGGTAGCGCAACCTTCGTATCTCTGCCGCTTGCATCAGAATGTACTCGTCTTTTTGCTCGATTTCGGCCGCTTGCTTCCGAATATAGTCGTCCTTATTTCGGATTTCGACTCGCAACGCTCGATCAAGTTGGCTTTCGGCGATGTCTTCGTCGCCACTGAGTTTATTCGCTACCGCGATCGACTCTCTCCTTCTCCTTCTCCTAGTGCGAGGCTGAGAATGGGACGCTGCCGCTCGACTGGGTGGCGGCGCTCCCACCTTGTGGATTCGCCGCCTGTGGTCGTCGAGGTTACTCTTGCGCGTGAAACCCCGGCCTGAGCTTCGCGGGCACTCTTCAAAGGGGCAAAAGAGCGGTTGCGTCGTCGCGTGCATCTTGTGCACTTCGCGGTAATGGCGCAAGAGCCCGCCGTTGTAGGTAAATCCGAGGATGAGCTCACAGCCGGGTTCGTAACATTTATAGGGACGTTGGTGGGTGTCTATGTGCCTGCTCCAGTCGCAGAGTCTCCAGAAAATTTTGGTTCGATCGCCGCAGTCAACATGGTCGCAAAATATTTGACCTTTGTCGTTTCGAGGCGGGGCTCTTCTGTCGTGGCGCAAAACTGGTATCCCCGTAGGCACTGGTTGTGGTGGCGGGACGTTCTCGTTCGCCATGGCAATATATGGCTTGCTTGAGTACGATAGACGGAGTAGGCGGAAATTCTGGGGAGATAAAAAGCAATGAAGATTCTCAATTGTAGTGTAAAGAGACGAGAGGTTGGCGCCGTTAGGGTTTTCTTGGCAAAGTCGGTAGAGTTGAGCAATAAGTAATAGCAAATACGCCTATGGTATATATGGTCGACACTGTACAAGACCCTAAACATAAAGAAAGAGGAGGTGTGCCTCTCCTGCGGGGAGCGTGCTAGTAATAAGAGAATGCTCCCCGGGTCGAGAAATCCCTTGGCTGGTGGCACGATAGTTGATCGTCGATTCGATGCTCGTTTAATCCGATATATAGCTAAGTCCGCAACAGGTGCCAGGATACCTCCCGGCTAGTCCTGGAATGACCCAGTGCTCCTGTGACGGAGCCACATGGCAGTGGCTCTACGACTACGAAGTCACGATGCCGGGAAAACTGTTTGACTGAGAAAATGAAAAGCAGGGGGGAGGAGATTTGGCGTCGACTAGCGCTCCTCGGCGTCATAACCACGAGGAGAGACTCGACCAGGGGCCTTGCGTACCGGTTTATCAGACTTGGGCCTCATTGAGGAATGCGCTGAGAAATGGAGGGAACCAGCTTCCCACACATGAAATCAACCGAAATCTCGTGGCGGAAAAGATCGAGGGGGAGAAAGAAGGTGATTGATTGAGCTCGACTTCGGTGCTCAGCGTTTGCTGAGGATAATTCCAATATGTCACTGGCTCCAGGAGGCCCAGGATCCTAGTGCAGCAGGCATCTATCCCGACCCGAGTGCAGTTTCTGCAGTAGATCCCAGACCCGTACACTCCAGGACGAGTCGAGCTCCATGTGGACGCAATCTCGCTCGGAACATGGGAGAATTCCTCACGGATGCGTAACGGAGTGGCTTTGAGATTGCCTCTGGGATGGTTGGGTTCCCCGTGGCGGGGGTCGATTGGGGTCAGAGGGTCGTCTTCGGTGACCACCCTCGACTATCAATCGCTTGTTCTTCCCACCCCAGTCTTTTCCAGAAGACGCCAAAGAGGTTGTCTTTCCTTGAAATGAAGTCATCGTCGGTCGAGCGCTCTGCATCATCTGCTTTGCCCACCGGCAGAAGGCGATTTTGGTTAAAGAACGAAAGAACCAAGAAACGCAATGATGAAGAGCGACTGAGGCGCTTGATCAGGGCAAGCGATCCCACAAAACTTGACACGGTGGACATACAGCATTGCTAGATCATCAGACCTTCTCCCCGACATACTTGTCGTTTGCTGCGTATGAGTGCTGGCACCATCTGTCCAGGTGGCCAGCTGCTGCATTTCCCTTCCTATTTCTTTCTCCCTTGTCAGTTGCTCCAAAGGCAAATGAATTCTTAACACGTCTTGGTATGAATATGAGGGCGATTACCGACGCATTCCAAGGCCCAGTTACTCCTGTCATCATCTTCCTGTGGAATTCCATCCCTAGATCCACTTGTGGACGGGAAGCGGGTGTCGAGCGCGGAAGGACTTTTTGCCCCCTGCCTCCCGCCTCGTCCCATTGCGCCCTGGAATTCCTCCCTAGAAATTGCTGCTGTTTTCAGGCCGAGCCTACTCCAATCATGGCAAATCAATAACCGGCCCGATTTTCCACATCCTGTACGAGGCGGTATAGTTTCGGCCAGCAAGGGACACTAGCCTTCTAGCATCCTTGCGCGGCCCTGAGACACGATTTCATGGGCGACAAAACCACGGCAAATGGTTCGCTGATCCTTCTCCTTGCTTTTCTCCTACTTCCCTAGTTGAAGAGACTGCTGCCTGGTCACATTTAAATTCGATATCCAGTGTGCATAACCAAAGCCGCCTTTTAATGAGAACACCTCGCCCTGGTTGGCAGCGGCTTGGTCGCCAAGCTCTGCGGACGCATTTCCCGGCCTCCCGGCCTTGTCAGCCTCACAGTAACACGCTGCGGTGACATGCCATGGTGATTTACTGGTGTCTCGTTTTCAAACCTCTTTAGCCTCACGACGACACGCTACGACTCTTTATTCGCACCTCCACCTCCCCTTGTGCTGGCTAAGTCTCTCTCGCATAGCACCCAAAGAGTGCCATCGTGAACGTAACAGATACCAGACACCAATAGCCACGGCTACCCACCGCTCCAACGGTGAGTATCAGTGGATGCACCATGGAATCGATCCCATTGACATGGATAGTGTGAATTCCACAATTGCACCTTCGGCCCAAAATCTGCCACAGCTTCTCGGAGCATCAAGCTGCTTCCTGCGGACGGGTCCATGGATTTACCACAGAGCCTCCAGTCCCTTTCGTTGACAGGGAATCCACGACGTGGCGTGTCCCAAGGCCAGGAGCCATCACAACCAGACAACGGTGCCGAGACCATCAACGTTGCTGAGAGCTCCAACGATGCTGAGACCACGGATCCGGAAGACATCGATCATCCGGACGACTTTGATGATACCACTTCGGACGAAGACGATGAACTCAGCGAGGCTAGATTAGCTGTGTGGTGGGCGCAGCACGACGAGGCACATCAGAAGATGGTGGAGCGGCACGCCGAAGAGCGGGAGTTGATGAGGCTGCAACAGGACCAGGACCATGGCCAGAGGATCCAGCAGCAAACCCATGACTACAATCGGGCCACCATGCTGCCGATGCCGGAGCAGGTTCAACGGTTTGCGGAACTCCGAGAGAAGAACACGCGGGTGGTGCAGGAGACGTTGGAGCGGTGGAACCAGGCGTGGGACCAGATGCTGAGCCGGCAGGCGGAAGAGCTGAACCAGCTGATGCATCAGCGACAGCAAGAGTTCGAGGAGATGTTGCACCATTACAGAGAGCAGCAGATGCAGCTGCTCCAGGACGAGTTTGAGCAGCTTGCGAATGCAAGGCTGGTAGGGAGGTAAACATACGAGTGGCCGTGGCACCATCCCCGATACATTTTCCAGAGTGCCTCTCACGTCCCGGCTCGCGCTGCAAGACGAGAAGACCACGTCCCTAAATTCACATGTGAGCCTGCTGCTTCCACAACACCCTTTCTCATCTGTTGCCCTTCTGCAAAGTTTTCCGAACCTGCTTTGCCATAGAATGGTGCAACCCGACGCTGTCATTGTCAGTAGCCGAGCCGTGGTTGGCAGCGTGTGCGTGTATACCAGCGTCCTTCCTTGTTTTGCCTGCTTGCAGGATCAATCCAAAACATCCTCCCAGAGCTTATCCATGTCATGTCACGCAGGTATGTATGGCGTGTACCCTCTTGAAAGATGTGGGCGACCGGCAAAAACGACAAGATTGTCGTCGGGCTGTTCGCTCAAACTGCTCCAACCTTGACGGCATCAAGACGGCGGCGAATTGCAGTTTTTTAAGCCACTCAGCGGCCGCCTTGACGGGGGATTTTTGATCCTAAAAGGAGCTGTTGTGCCGATCATTGACCGAAATTGTTCAGCCTTTGAGATTTGAATTCTCATTGCTTCTGCCTTTCCGTGGGCTTGCTTGACATTTTGCCCCTTTCGTCCAAATTCACAGGGGATGGATGGATAGACGACACACAAGCAACCACCGCGAAAGCTGCAGACTCTGCAAAGCCTGTCCAAATCATTTATCCTCTTCTCTCATTAATTCTGTATACCGATGCTGGAAACTGTCAGCTAGTGACAAGGCAAGGTCCAACGTTCCTCTTTTTTTCGACTTTCCCCTAGGTTGTCTTCTGACTCTATCGTGGGAGGATGATCATGAGCCAGAGGTTGAAGGCCAGCCAATGAGTGCTCAGTGATTCGCTGGTGTCTCTGAAGTTTCCTTGGGTGTCAATGTTTTTGAAGCACCCGGAGCCTGGATTCTTGGAGCAACTTTGGTCTCAATTAGATTTTTTTTCTTCTCTTATTCTCTTTTGTAAGTCGATAGCGGCTTGGGATACGCGTTTGCGTTGCTGCACGCCTTGGAGACTCTAGCGCGCGCTCGTCATGATCTATTGTCTAGTCAACTGCCCCAATATTTGGACCCGTGGCCTTTTGCAGATATCAGCCTTGAAACAGCCTCGTGTGAGCTGCTCAGACTGACTGGACGCTGCCCAGCTTTCGCGCAAGATGGATCGCCTGTGGCCTTGGCTTGGATGAGAATTTCTTCTGCCGATGAGCCGCGCCACTGTACGTGTTGAATTCGTCGACAGTGCAACCTCAACAAGGCACGACGCAATACTCGCATGGATATCTATTAATGCAGCCACGCATCGCGTCATGTCGTCGGTTCTCTGTCATGCTAGAAAAGCATTGAAACGAGAAATTTTCGATGCCCAGGTACGGCTCAGAAAGCCACCTCCCCGCGTTTGCCAGAACGCGTCCAGAAGGCCGCTGAGAGGATGCGGTAGGGGTATTCCAACCTGCTCCTGAGAAATGGTTCTGGCTCGCAAGGTTTTCAGGGAACACACTCTCCAGCCGGCCGCTCGCTTGGAATTAGGATAGCTCGGGTAGCTGACATATGTCCAGTATATTATGATAGCGACCGAAGTTAATCTCGTACTTGACTGCGGTTCATCGCTTGCGAGTTGTGTAAGGTCTTTCGGTGGCCAGTTTGTCACCGCATTTGGAGACGTTGCTCTGTAGTTTGTCGAAAATTCCCCCGCACCCGCATGGTGCCCGAGCGGGCTTAACCGGTTGAGATATTGGAAATGACTCCGGACAGCGACAGCACCAATAATTTCGTACAATAGCGAGTTCGCTTAGATGCTGAGCAGAAAAGGCCACCAACAAATTTGGCTGGCGTTTCGTTTCTGCTAGTCACACAAACACACGACATCTAATATTCTAGATATTTAACCTCGTCGTCGCCTTTTTATATAGATAACCTTGGTGTTAATAATCTACGCAGTAAACTAAACTAACCACTAATATCAACACAACGACCTTAGACATAATCTAAATCTATATCTATTAACCTCGTCAACCTCGCCGCCTACCTCATATTAACTGTCTATACTAACGCTTAATTAACCTCGGTCTCGTCGCAATCCTTCGCCTACAGTGGGGTGCAAAAAGTTTAAATACACCACGTAACGCCAAGACAACATTTTTCTAAGCTAAGCCTAATAGAGTAGAATCGTAGTGTCTTAGATTTTAGAGCTACTTAATTGGTTAATATTAGTGATTCCTTTTACGCGTACAATAAGTCGCGTTCTAACATAATATTAGACACAGCCTTGGAAGAGACCGGTCAAGGGCTGCACGAGCACGGCTCACTACACTCATTGGCCATATGGAAGGGTCCGCGAGAGAGCAAGACTAGGTCACGTGATACGCTCTGCTAGCTCTGCCGACCCTACTAGCTCTGCTAACAGAGCGCATAGAGCGCATAGAGCGCACAGAGCATAAGCATTATATATACACCCTCATTCCCCCTAGATAGCTTACACTCTCTTCGTAGCCAACTCATATTATCTATTAGACTATACAGTTCTTAGTGACAAGCGACTACTTATACCTTACGCGATCCCTAACCAGTTCATACTACTTAGATTATTACTAGGAACCCTAACCCAGTTAGGCCCCAGTAGGATCTCTAACACTTTGGCTACCACCCTTGTTGTGGAGAACAACCCCTATGAGCAGTCAAGGAAGACCCGTCCGACCCACTTCGCTAACCGACGAACTACTTACCCGGTAAACCGCACGACTATCACTCAACGATATAATATCGATCACTATAGACACCCTAAGATCTATACTTAGTACTCTAAGAACCACGACTAGCGCTACACCGCCAGCTTACGCTCATAGTACGGTAAGCTCGTCTAGAGATGTATTAATTCCCGTTAGTAAAGAGAAAATTAGAAATTCACCTAAATCTTTTAATAAAGTGAAGTCTAAACTTATATCTTTTATTCACCACGTAGATATATATATTCTAATGAATTCTACTAACTTCTAGAATGATCTTTAGAAGATTCTCTTTATAGAAAGCTACTTCGAAGAAGACGTCGAGATATAGCTTCGACTCTTCGTAAAGAATTATATAGAAAATAAACTAAACGATCGAGAAGACGAAATAATTAACTTATTCGCTATATTTACGAAATTTAAAGACATAGTAAAACTAATGTTTAGAGCGAAGAATAAAGAAAAAAAAGCTTAAAAGAAGATAGTAAGTCTTCGATAGACTAGGTCTATTTAGAAATACGTAACTAAATTTAGAACGCTAAATATAGTACTCGGCTAGTAAGATAATATTATAATCTTTATCATCCGAGAGAAACTAAAAGCTAAAATTAAGTAGAAACTCCGTCACTTAGAAAAGATATTACTAAAAGAATAGATAGCTACGACTATTAAAGAAGATAACGACATTAAAGAATATCGCTAGTAGAAGTCTTATAACTCTCGGAAGATATACGTAGTAAAAGCTTAGTGAGCTAATACTTAGAAAAGACGTAAACCCTACTATAGACCATAGCCTATAAACCTAGATTAAGTATAGAAAAGACGCGATAATAATAAGAGAAACGGAAAGAAAAAGACCGATCTTAGAAAAGAAAAAGAACTTACTTATTATAGCTACGGTAAACTAGGTCATTACGTAAAAGACTATAAGAGTAAAAAGAAATAGATTATAGCCGCCGAAAAAAAATCTAAAATTAAGGAAACGGCGACGATCATCTCTAAAGTTAATATAGTAGAAGAAGAAGTGATAATAGCTAAAGATAGTATAGACGAAAGAAAAGCCGTAGTGACGATAATTACGTCTACTAAACTATATATCCGCACTAAATACTAAATAAGAGCACTATATAAAGATCTATACTGCTCTCGACGCGTATAAGAATATAACTATACGGTTTACACGCTAGATCTTATACTCTCGGAGATAAAAGTAATCTTTATAATTAGAATCTATAGAAGCAAAGAATATTCTTAAATAAACTAGGACTTCGACCTTATATATACTCACTAAGAAGAGAACCTATATAATTAATCTCTTTATATAATAATAGTGAACGATAACACTTTAGTAAAGTATAATATAACTAACTTCTAATATAACTTAGACCTCGATTATACTAAGAAAAATAAGATATAAATTTAAGAGAGACTAAAGAAACTAATATAAGACGAGATTAGATAACTTATTCAAGAAGTAACCGAAAGAGTTACGGTTACGGCCGCTTAGATATAAGAAGTAATAGAAGAGATTCGAAGAGCGGAAGACGAAACCAAAGCACTTCTATAAACACTTACTAATAACGATATCGTAGAAATCGCTAGAATCGCACGAATCTTAGAAGAAGAGATTCGCGAGTAACTTAATCGAATAAAAATTCTAAATAGAGCCGAGATAGAAGTTTAAGCCGCTATATAAGCTTATAGAGAAAGAGACGTATTACTTTCTTATTTCGTTAAAACGTTACTTAACGTTCTTATCTAAGAATTATTTCTCTATAACCGTATTTATAACTACTCTCTAAGAAGAGTTCTATATATATATTAATAATATCTTAACTTCCTATAATCGAAAAAGCTAAGAATATCTACTATGAAAGTTTAATAAGTCTTAGAAGAATTAGTAAAGCGATATACTAACTATAACTACGAAATATTAGAATCTTAGAATAATAAAATAAACTATCTTCACTAACTAAAAAACTAAGATAGTAAAGAAATTAAAGATATTCGAATTATCGAAAATACGTCTCTAGAAGACGTTAACGCTAGAAAGTTAGTAGAAATAGCGTATAACTAGTTAGAATTAGAGAAGAAAGAAGAAATTAATAACTTAAGTTAAATATAATTATAAAGTCTAACGCTAGACTTATATTTCTCGAAGATATACTAAAAGATTAAAAAGTTAATATTTTAATTAACTCTAAATATACTAAAAACTTAGTATACATTAGAATAGCGAAAAAGCTACCGTAATAAAAGAC